TTTAACTTAAATTTACAGCGATTCCAACAAATCCATAGTCCCTACAACACAAAAATCACATGATTTTACTGATTATAGGTGACTTACACCCACAACCATATTCCAGACACAACATCAATTCAAGTAAGCAATTCACAGACATGGGTAAAATGTGGTTAACAGGTAAAGTTTCGAGTGGTGATACCGACCTATGATCAAATCCCGTCTAATACACACAGGAAAATTTAGACATAGGGTCAAAGGCTTAAAGAGTTAAAGTTTAATTTCAACTCAGTGACTTCAACAGCAAAACAAATTCACACATAATGAACAAAAGCAGCTCCTAAATCACAAATTTAGGATTAAAACAGTGAAATACAACAACAACAACAACAACAACAACAACAACAACAACAACAACAACAACAACAACAACAACAACAAAAAAAAAAATTGATCAATAAAAACCCCACAAACATTAATAATTCTTCATTCAATTCTAATGGGTATTTGCTAAAATCAATGAAAAATGCAATTAATTCATAAAAACATCAAACACAGCATAAATTTCGAAAAGGGGGAAATTACCTTGGGGCGTTCGAGGGTAATAGGGCGGAATTTGGTGGCAAAGCTATCAGCCAAAAGAATGGCTTGTAAAGGAACATGAGTGAGGTCATCTGCATCTTCTGCAGTCTTACTCGGTCTTCTCTGCACCATAGTTTATCTCTCTCTCTCCTCAAAAATCTTCAAAAACCCCTTTTTTCTCACAGCTTCTTCTTGGTTATTGTTGTTGTAGAGAAACGCTGTGGAGTATGTGGATCGATCTTTTTTAGGTAGCTTTGGCTGAATGAATGCAAGTTCTTTTTTAGGCTTTGTGGGGGACTTTTGGGTTTGTTCTTGTGCTATTCCAAAAACGCTAAGCTCGGGTTTTCTCGGCTTATTTTTATTGAACTAAATGGGAAATGATTTTGACACGCCTATTATGAAAGCACTATTTTTTATGTTTCTCTCCTATAGATATGTGCTAAATTAATCTTTGGTGTGCCAAAATCATTTTCCAATCTACCAAAAATGAATTAATTTTAAGTACCACATTTTTAAAAAAAATAATAATAAAATTGTTGGCTAGCTACAAAAATGAATTAATACCTAAATTAGCCAAGTAATTGTCCCGATTTAGCCATAGTACATTGCGTGGTTAAAATTTAGGATTAGACCAATTTAATGTGAGCACTTCTGAGCCAACATCAAGTCAATAAAAATTTCATTATAGACCTATGGTACACTTGGTACTAACAAACAATTACTTTTTATTGCAGAAAATACGAGTTTATAAACATAAAACATGTTACGACGTAAAGAACAAATTACTTTCTTTATTTATATATTTATTTATATATTTCATCTTTTTTTTTATGTATAAAGTAATATGGAAATAAATGTATCAAATTTGAGAAGAGATATATAGATGTTAATCTCGAAGATTAACCTAGAAATAAGGACCCTAATGGTACCTTAATCCTCGGGATTCTTTGGTTTGATATTTACAAGTAAAACACTTCGGGGCATTTGGTATGTAGGAATGAGAGTTTGAGGATTAGAGGGTGGGATAGGGATTGGGAATAAGTTCATGGGAATTCATGAAAATAAGCTCACGTTTTTGTTTGGTTGTTGAGTGGGAATATGTAGGGATTAAGGGTCTGTTCTCATACGTTGAATTTCAGTTCAGTTCAATTTATTTTCAGTTCAGTTCAATTCAGTTTATATCTAATGATATTGCTAATGATATACAGCCAAATTTCATTCTTTTAAGCTCTTATTGCAACAATGATAATAATAATAATAATAATAATAATAATAATAATAATAATAATTTCGTTCCAGCTTTTACCTTTTTTTTAATGTGTTAATTTTTTACAAAGTGTTTTGTGTTCTTTTGTCATAATAATATTTTATTTTTTAATTAAATAGTATATGTTTTTAAAATGTTTTGGGGTTTCATGTTTTTAATATATTTTCCATAAATATTATAATTATATAGTATATTTTTCTTAATATGTATATTTGTATATACACATATGTATAATAATAAATAATCAAAGATCACTAATCCGTAGTTAAAAATCACTAATTAATAAGTTCATTTTATTTTCAGTTCAGTTCAGCGTATGAGAACAGACCCTAATTAACAATATTACAAAAATGTCTTTGCCAAAACCTTTCCTTTTTTCTTTTCATTAATGGCAAGATAGTCATTTTACCACCCCTCCCAATGCCCATCTCATAATACCGGCCCCCCTTGGTATTATTTTGAGGGAATAGAGGGTATATATTCCCAATCCCCTTCCTACATTTTAATCCTAAGTGAGATTTTATTACAAGTGAGATTAAAAGTCCCATTCCCAAATCCCAACCCCAATTCTCACATACCAAACGCCCCCTTTGAGAATGAGGTGGGAAGAGTACCGGATCACGAATTCACAATGTCACTAGTGGGAGTTGAACCGCTGATCAATGAGTATTGAGTAGGAGGATTGTCCACTTGACATCAGTCGGAACTCAGGGTCTATCAACTAATTTCAGCTGCCACCCTTCAATTTCCGTCTTTCTTGTTTTGGAAATTACAGAAATTGCAGCAACACCCTCACTCTGATTCATTGAAGAAGAAAAGATGAAGAAGATGATTAAAGCTCTGCGTTTTAATGGAGGTACCTCTCATTTCCAACCTTTTCCCCTAATTTCATCTCTCTTTCCTTTTCAATTCCCTTTTTTTTTTTTTTTTCCAGTAAAATGATTCTTGCAATTGATGACCGTCTTCTGTTTATCGATTATGTTAGAGAACAATGCAAATTAGGGTTTTTTAATCTCAAATTACCCCTTTCCCTCTTCAATCAATTGACCTCTTTGCGTCCTCTTCCTTGTGTTATCGTTTTCAACCAACTATTCACTGCCATTTCCAAATTGAAACGCCTTCATCCTCATTCCACCATTATTTCTCTTTCCAGGCAGCTTGAATTACTGGGTATTAGATCCGATAGGCATTCGTTTGGTATTCTTGCTAATTGTTACTGTCATTTAGGTCGTGTCGATTCTGGTTTCTCTCTAATGGCTAAATCCCTTAAACTTGGGTATCCCCCAAATGATTATACCTTTAACACCTTAATCAATGGTTATATCATTAATGATAAGCTCCCTCAAGCTGCTCAATTGTTGAATAAGATTGTTAAGCTTGGCTTCCAACCCGATATTGCTATTTTCAAAGGCCTTTGTAGAATTGGTGACAATGCCAGTGCTCTCACTTTGCTTAACAAAATGCGTTCTGCTGCTCATTATAAACCTGGTCTTGTTATATATAGCACTATTATTGATAGTCTTTGTAAGGACAGGTTATTACAGCAAGCTATGAAAGCCGAGGGCATTCAACCCAATGTTGTCACTTATAATACTTTGATTCGAGGCCTCTACAATTCTGGATGCAGGGGTAGAAGTTAAGGGTGTGTTGACTGAGATGTTAGAGAGCAATATAGCACCTAATGTTGTGACCTACAACACGCTGGTTGACATGTTTTGTAAAGATGGTAATGTTGTGGAAGCGGAAGCGGAAGCGATTTTAAGACACATGACTGACAAAGGTGTAGCTCCTGACATCATTACTTACAATGCTTTACTTGATGGTTATTGTTTGCGTGGTCAGATGAGAGATGCAAAAAAGCTACTTCATACCATGGCCCAAAATGGTTGTGAGCCTAATCAAGTAAGTTTTAGTACTATGATCAATGGATATGTCAAACTCAAAAACATTGACAAAGCTTTTACAGTATTAGAAAATATGTTTCAGAAAGGGCTATCACCAAATGTTGTAACCTATAGCACTCTTATCGATGGCTTGTGTAAAGCCAATAGACTTACACTTGCTTGGAAGTTGTTCACTGATATGCAAGCTCATGGAGTTACTCCTGATGTTTTCACATATAGTTCATTTCTTGATTGCCTGTGCAAAAGTGCACAACTTGATGAGGCAGTGGCATTACTTGAAGATATGGAGGATAAAGGTATTAAGCCTGACATTGTCGCTTACAGTATCCTTATAGACAGCTTGTGTGAGGCCGGGCAGCTTGAAGATGCAGCAAAAGTTTTCTCTAATCTTGTGATAAAGGGTTTGCAGCCTAGTTTTAGAACATACAATATATTGGTAAAAGGTTTCTCTAAGAATGGGCTCATGAATGAAGCTACTCAATTATTGAGGAAAATGGAGAAAGATGGTTGTTTTCCCAATGATACTACCTATAATACAATTATCAGAGGATATATTCTCAGTAATGACTTCACAAAGGCTTTGTACTATTGTGATCTAATGGTAAGCAAGGGGTTTGAAGCTGATGCAGACACTTTCACATTATTTATTGACCTATTGTCTTCTGATAACTTGAGTGACTCGTACAAGGGATTGCTTCAGAAGTTTATCAAATGAATAGGTAGTGCAAGTTTACTAGGATTTGAGATTTTGGACCTTGGATATCAAACTAATTGCTGGGTGAATTGACTGCTTTTAAACTTTGAATCGAGTTCTTAGAAAAGAGCTAACAGTCAGTTTACAATGATCTGTCATCCATGTCTCTTATGTGCGTTGACAAAGATTGTGTTGCATAGTTGTATGCAGCTTTTTAGCATTGTAATTTGTATATGTACATAACTTTAGCTTTAGTGTTACCACTGATATAATTGGTTATCGTGGTAGTATACATAGTAGTAAAGATAGTGTTGTATTTTTAATTGCCCTCCTGTGTCCAACACCTTGTTTCAGAGATTATTATTCTGGTATGATAATTGGTTTATAACAAGAGAACATTGATTCCATGCTGATTATTTCTTATGAATTATGACATTTTGAAGAGTTTGAATATCTTAAGCTACCGAGAGTCTTAAGAGCACTAGGATCTGAAGAACTTAATAACAAAGAGCACCAGTTAAAAAAATAACCCTGATAATACAAGGTGAATTCCCGATTAACTACATCAAACAAGCTTGGTAATGGTAAATAATGATAATACGAGCTTATGACTTCACTAAACCCGATGCGGGTATCCAAATTGACACCTTGCTCTATGATTAGAGTTGACAATTTTTAACACGACACAACAATACAATTGAAAAACCCATATAAATAAAGTGGGCAAAATTAACCATGAGTTACATAGTAGTAGTAGACTTGGAAAGTTGGAAATGTGGGAAGGAACACCTAATTCCTAACGTCCATCCCTCCATGTGTAAAAAAAGACACACGTCAATGATTCACTGTTTCACTCCTCTTACCACCGCTCTTCTCCACCTCCTTCTTCCTCAATTATCACTCTCTATCTTTTCCTCTCTTTCTCTCTCCTCTGTAATTCAGCTCAAATTCTGCACCAAAAATGGCAATGAAAGAAGAAGAAGAAAAAGGAGGATTAGGAAGAATAATAGAAGTAACAAATTGGTTTCCAAAACTAGTCGAAACCCAAGTTGACTTAATCGCTACTACCCTCTACTCCATCCTCACCACCTTCCATTACCCTTCATTTTCTCTCTCCTCACCCACCTTCTTCAAACCACCCCATGCTAACTATACCGATCCCCTCGACATGGGTTCGACTCGTGCGCAAACTCAAAATCATACTCATACTCATCAATCTCAGCACCTGTTTCAGAAACTGGGGTATGGGCTGCTTGGTGCGCTGTACGCAGCGACGGTGTTGACTTTGTTAATGGCGGTTGCGGTGGTTATTGGGGTTGTGATGGTTAATTTTTTGGTGGAGAAACCCGTGGTTGTTAGAGAGAAGTTGTATTTTGATTACACTGATGTTAATCCTTCAGCGGTGTTTTTGTTCGGTGGTTATGGAATGAGTAAATATGGTGGCGGTAGCGGTCGTGGTCGTGGTGTTCCGGTTGGTCATACGTTTCATGTTTCGGTTGTGTTTTCGGTTCCGGAGTCTGATTATAACCGTGAGATTGGTAATTTTCAGGTAAATTTTGTTGGTGATTTATTTATTGGAAATAATGTACTTCGTATTAGCTAGTTTAGTTAGTAAAGTCGAACTAAATTATACGGGTTTGAAATATTCATAATTGTATTGTACCATTTGTAGTTATAGAAATATGGAGTCAGTTGATTTAGTTGGTAAAGTGTAAGTTGGTAAATTTTCAAGGGTGGTACAATTGGAAAAATATGCTAAAAGTAGTATGGAGCAATATTACGGGGACACCGGACACTTAAAAAAGGGCAAATGGAGCAAAACAATGGGGACACTTAAAAAAGGCAAGTAGAGTAATCAATTAGGGATGGAGGGAGTAGTATCTTAAATCTAATACTCGTAATAGAATTGAATCTTGCCCATATCACTATTGATTTTGAATTCTAAAATGGAAAAGATTAGGCTAGAAATGTAAAATTAACATGTTGGTTATTTGTAGCACTTAATTGATTGTTTTGGTTTGGTTAGAAAATTGCACCCCTCTTAATTAAATTGTTGAAACAAGAAGAATATACCAAGATTCGAGATGATATTACATTGTGCTAGTTAGTGATTGGAGTATAGCATCATAGTTTGAGCCTCGGTCATTTGATTCGCCCAGATTTATGTGTGGGTTTAATTCGATTTTTGATCTAGCTACTGGGTGTATTAATCATTTAATCCATTGTCTAATAGTCGTTATTGTTCTGGTCAATCACTTCTTTGTCAACAGATAATGGCTGAAGTTGTGGCAACCAACGGGAAACTTATAGCGCAGTCAAGCCAACCATCAATGCTACAATTCCATAGCTATCCTATTAGACTAATGCGTACCTTCATATTGGGTGTCCCTATATTGCTTGGAATCTCACACGAGACTCAAACGATCAAGGTGCATATGCTCCAGTACAAGGAGGACAATCATTTGAGAACGGAAGCTGTCAAGATTACGCTCATACCTCGAGCTGGGACTCCATATCTACCTCAATTGTATGAAGCTGAGATCGTAATGCACTCCAAGTTGCCTAGAGTGAAAGAGTTTGTTCACAATTGGAAATGGACTTTCTATGTGTGGACTTCAATGTATGTCTACGCCGTGATGCTTATGCTGCTCCTTTGGTTCTTCAGAGACCTATTGGCTTTCCCGATATCAAGAGGGATTGATCGTATAGAAAGAAGAGAACCAGGGGTTCTTCTCGAAAGAGAAGAGAAACCAAGAGCAAGAGGAAGGGAAGGAAGGGAGTTCTCGGAAACACTTAGAAAATGGCAGCAATATAGAAGGAAAAGGAAGTCCGCTCTTTTGAGTAGGAGTGCTTTTACGGACAATGTTGGTTCGACTTCTGCCTCGAGTTATACTGTAAACAAAGACGATTTTGAGCCTACCATCGAAGAAGATGTTGGTGACTCAGAATCGGTGTGCATAGAAGGTTAGAAAGATGCATGTTTTGCTAATGATTTAGCTTCCTTGTGGCTAGTTTTTGTATTATATTTGTTGGACAATGTAGGGTGTACTCCCTAGAATTGATTATATGTATGGTGCCAATGGTGGATGGTTTTTCTGCCTGAAGCAAGTCAAATGATATTTTTTTTTTTTTTTTGAAAATTCTATTGTGATAATGGTTCAAGTATAATTAATCAAATAGTGGGTTGGGCTGATTTAGGTCTTGGTACAAAAAGTCATGTCAAAAACTCGTTAATTTGGGTCGAACTTTTCCAATTAAAACGGGCTTTTTTAACATGTTTACTGAGCTGTCCAAACATATTTAGTTCCGAACTTTTTTTAGACAGGTCGGGTCAAAACTATCAATGATCATTAACCTACCTCATGAGTAATGCTATTATGTTTCTATGAAAGATTTTTTTTTTTTTTTTTTTTTTTTTTTTTTTTTTTTTTTTTTTGTGGATAGTAATGATTATATTCGACAAATATGTAGTTGTGATTAGTTGGTACCTAGAAGGCTAGAACACAAGACATTAGGCAACCTAATAAAAAGGAGGGTACAAGGCGTACAACAAGAGTACAGAGTTAGTTAGTAATCAACGGACCAAAGGTAACAAATTTGCTTATCCGATGCTAAGGGGAATCTACACCTTTTTTTGTAAAATTTGTCCTTTAAATGCAATTGCCAAATGTTTTGGAAGTATCGTTTGGCAAGTTGGACAAAAATTATAATTCATATTAAATTTCACCTTGATTATTTATTTATAGTAATTATCGACTCTACAGGTATAGCCGTATAGCTAAAATGTTTTGGAAGTATCTTTGATGAGTCATACATACGTCATAATTCAAATAAAAATTTATCTTGATTATTGTAATTAACGACTCTACAAACATAACTAAATTGTTCTGAAACAGCGGAGTATATATTTTGGTAGCTTAGACATACATCATAATTCATATAAATGTTTTTCTTAATCATAGTAATTAACGATTATACAAGCAACGCTAATATGGTAAACCACCACCTTAACTCTCAAATTTTATTATGATTATTACGTAATTGTATTTTTTTTTTAAAACAAATTATGTTCTTGTACTTCATAATCAACTAAAATAAAAGTGATTATAAAACACGGTAAGCATGATGTATAATTAACTAATTATTGATAATAATCGAAGCCGTTATCTTATTCGCTAAAAATTAGAGCTTGTGATAAACATTTGTAACAACTCATATCATGATTAATGCTAAAATTAGAAACTAATATCTACAATGTAAGGTAATCTTTTTATCTTAGATTTAAATACAACTATTTTTTTGGTGAAAATAATATACAGTACTATATTTATTTAATTTAACAAATTAATATTTTAACAACCGTTATTAATTTGAGGAAATAAAATTACAACATATCAGTAGAATATTGCACGTTTTACTTTAAAAAAAAAAAGTAGGATATTGCACATTTGCACGTGTGATTACTGATTAGCATAGCTTCACACAGATGATGATAAATCGTGACAAATTTTCCGATAAAAATCCGCCATCAAATTTTTAAAAATAAAAATTAAAAAGCTTTTTAGCATAATTTCCGATTAAATTAAACTGAATTTTTTTTTTAAAAAAAAAACAAAAATCTAAAACCCTCAAAATTTCCTTATATATATATGGTCTATGAAACTCGGAAAATCAATTTCGATACGCGAAAAACTTGATTAATTGGTCAATTACTTCGTTTAATTGTCTTCATTTTCAAAAATTAGAGTACCAAAAAAAAAAAAATTACTGGTGATATATTTTCTGTAATTGTTGGATGAAAGTTTTAATTTTTGAAATCACTGTTGATGAACTCAAATCTCCAATCTTTCACGAAATTCGAGGAAGAATTTTGGTGGAAAATTGCAGATTTCGAGCTTCAGTGAGGTATAATTCAGTAAGATTTATAGGGTTTTTCGAATAATTTCAGTTTATATTTTGTAATTCGAAGTACGAATGAAATTCAGGGTTCTGGAGAATAATATTGAAGGAAAATGGCTGCAATTTTCTGATTATTCATCTCCAAAAAGTAATTAATTGACTGTAAATCTATAATAAGCATAATTAATTTATTAATTATTTTTTAAAATTTTTTGTTGGTAATCTGGGAACAGGAAATGACAATCTTTGAGCAAGGGAGTTGAAATGGATTGGTTTGGGAGCAGGAAATTTGAACTTATTGATACTGGAAACTTAATATGTTATTAATGGAAAATAGTGAAGAAGAATTAGAGGAATGGAGGGATATAATGATGAGTTCTAAGGGTATATTCTCGGGTTTTGGACCTGAGAAATGTGGATGCAAATCAATTGATGAGTTTTTTAATAGTGGGGAGGGTAGTTTTGGGTGTGATGATGGTGCTGAGACATCAGTCGAAAACTCGTTGAGATTCGACAATGGATCGAATTCCTTGATGGGGGTTGATGATAATTCTAGTGTGATTAAGACTGGTGTGAGCATAGCTGAGAGGAGGGCGAATAAGCGTGGTTTTAATGCTTCCAAGCTTTGTTCCCCTCAGGTTAGGACTATTAGCTTGTTGCCTCATTCGAGTGAATCTTGCTCGCCTTATGTTACAGTGTCAACCAATATTAGTCCGAGGACATTGCTTGAGTCTCCAATGTTGCTGCCAAATTCACAGGTGTTTTCTCTTGGCTATTTACCTTCAAGTATATGGATGATGTTGTCGTTGCTGTACTGTTGGTTGATTGATTGAATGTGATGTTTGTTAAGAATTGGTTTGTAGTGTGCGGAAGACTATTATTCAGAATGATTCATGTACTTGCATATATGGAAGTGCTTAGATATAATGGCGCGAAAGAACTGCATGTTGAATGTGATGTTTGTTAAGATTTGGTTTGTAGTTAGAGAATGATTCATGTACTTGCATATATGGAAGTGCTTAGATATAATGGTGCGACAGAACATAATGTTGAATGTTATGTTTGTTAAGATTTGGTTTGTTGTGTGAGGAAGACTTTTATTCAGAATGATTCATGTACTTGCATATATGGAAGTGCTTAGATAAAATGGCACGACAGAACAGCATGTTGAATGTGATGTTTGTTAACATTTGGTTCGTAGAGTGAGGAAGACTTCTATTCAGAAGGATTATGTGCTTGCATATATGGAAGTGCTGAGATATACTGGTGTGACAGAACTACATTGTCTGATATATACTACTGGCATATAGTTTTAATATTCTTGCATATTGATGAGACAGAACTACATTGTCTGATGCCAGGGAAAGATATAGGGGAAGTGTTACTTGTAAGTTTTGACCATATCATTCGATGTGATGCTGATTAAGTACTTTGAGGTGGCTTAAAACCAAGTGATGAAAATGTAAGAGGTATAATTTAAGATAGCAAATTATTTGTTTGACAGAATTGCAAAGGGTGTACAATATTAGAACTTGATGTGCATAGAAGTAACAACTGCTAAAAGCAATTCTTAATGAGAAAAAAGAAAAGAAAAGAGTGAGATTTATTATGACTTTACGCTTTTTTGTTTTACGTATATAATCAACAATATTAATATGCTCAAGTAATGACGCCAGTTCCTATCTCTTTGATCCTGTAGTTATCACCAACAACAGGAAGTTTAGCTTCACGCCCTCTTGATGGAGATAGTCAAATGTTGATTTCAGCATCATCTGCGGATGCAGACAAGGGTAGTGATGGTAGCTCTTCTGCCTTGTTTAAGCCTCATACTGAAACTACTTCTTTGTCAGATTTTCATGATGTTAATAATCAGGTATTCTTGCAATGTTTATTGGGCTCAATCAGCACCATAGTTTCTAGTCTTTCTTTTGCTATGTCTAACTAGTGGATTTCTTAATGTTACTCTGTCGTATGAGCTCCCTAATCAGCTAAACATTTGTCTACTTCCACTGATCTTCTTTCTTTTATCTCGAGAGAGGGATAGAGAGGGGCCGAGGGGTACAGGGTGGCAGAGTAGAAACATCTGAATGTTAATTCATTCATCACTACGCTGCAGTAATAGTATGGAAATATAGCGTTAGGTGCTAGCTAAACATGATTTCAAATGCAAATATTCTATGAAACATCACATTTTGTATGATTATGTGATTCTCAGTGTATATTCACCAAAATGCTTTCTTGAAGGGTTTTATAGAAACCTGACTGAATTATACTTGATTGGTAATAATATTTTACTTTCTTATGGAGCATTGTTCTTCTATTGATTTATGTAATTATACTGGGATATGTTACATTAATTCATAATAGTGCGGCCTTTTGTACCTTAGTAAGGATCAAATTGGATATTTTTTTCTCCTTTATCGGAGAGGTAAAGCTGCTTAGATCTGCTCCCATCGCCCTACCACTGGGAGGAGCTTCTTTATATGTAATGGCAAATGATACTAGTTTGATCTTTTGGTACTAGTGGTAAGTTGGTAACTTTATGTTTATCGAGAGTTACAAACTTGACTGATTTGTTCCTTAATGCTACACCTGTTTCACCTGCTTGACTCAAGATTTGGTAGCTGTCAATCTCTAAATTCTAAACAATCCTCACTGGACTTTCCATTTTCTGAGCGATTGTGTAAAAAAGTTGGAAAAATCAATCATGTATTCATGATGCTGTGCCTGCTGGCTCACCCCTGGCCTGAAATGTTTTTTTTTTTAATGACCTTAAATCTTGTCTATTTTCAGTCATGTGACTCAAACATTGTATCCTGCTTTCAGATGCTGCAAGAAAATGGGTCTTCCATGGGAGATGATTCTGCTTTGGATGGGAACCAAAATGGAATATATTCTCACACTGGAATTGCAAGAACAGCAGAAGATGGTTACAATTGGAGAAAATATGGACAGAAACAGGTCAAGGGGAGTGAATATCCTAGGAGCTACTATAAGTGTACCTATCCAAATTGTCTAGTGAAAAAGAAGGTTGAACGCTCTCATGATGGCCAGATTACAGAGATCATTTATAAGAATGCACATAACCATCCAAAACCTCAACCTTCTCGGAAGTCAACATCAGGCGCATTACCATTCAATGAGACATCAGATGTAGGTGATGGCAGTGGTTTGTGTATGAAAGTTAACAATGGCCCAGTCTGGAGAAGTATACAATCTGGATGTAAAGATGTTACCGGGTCAGATTGGAGGATTGATGGCTTGGAGACATCACCGACATCTGCTTTGACTGAAGTTTCTGATCCACTTTTAACCACTCAAGGGAAACAAATGGGTGTGCCGGGATCAGCAGGAACACCAGAATTTTCATCAACGCTTGTTAGTCATGAGGATGATGAAGAAGATGCTACTGCACAAGGGTGCTTTTTGAATGAGCACGAAGGTGAAAATGGATCTGACTTGAAAAGAAGGTACAATATTGATCATTTTGGCTTTCTCTCTTAACTCCATATAATATCACATACTCTTGTAAATTTTGCTTTGTATACTGTCAGGAAGAAAGATGGCTATTTTGCCGAGACAACTTTAGGTTCTAGAGCTGTCCGTGAACCAAGAGTTGTTTTCGAGATAGAGACTGATGTAGATATACTTGAAGATGGTTATCGCTGGCGCAAGTATGGGCAAAAGGTTGTCAAGGGAAATCCAAACCCAAGGTACCTCTAGATCCTTTTTCCCTCCCTCTCTCTGCTCTCATCTCCTGCTGCCACCGATTTTTTCTATGGAGTTTGTTGAGGCGAATACATGCAATGTACCTAGAACTGAATATGTTATGCACTGAAAATATTGTGTTGGTGAGTAGGAGCTACTACAAATGTACAACTCCTGGATGCACTGTCAGGAAACATGTGGAGAGGTCCTCTCAGAGTCTGAGGTTTATCCTAGTGACGTACGAAGGTAAGCACAACCATGAGGTGCCAGCTGCTAGAAACAGTGCTCATGCAAATTCAGGCAGTGGAAGTTTGACTGCAGCTGCAACTAGTACCCAGCCATCCCTAGCATTACCAAGAAGTTCTCATCTCCCTAAGCCTGAACCTCACACCCCAGATCTTCCCCTTCATTTTGATACGAATATTGGTTGCAATAATGACATCTTCAGATCTTCCCCTGCATATTACCCGATCAAATTCCCTGGCTTGCCAAAGACCACTCCATATGGTCCTTTTGGTTTGAGTACAAACCATCCAGCTTATGCCAATAACATGGTACCTGCCATCCCTGAACTTTCCTTCCCACCTCCATTAGGGTTTCCCTGCTCGATTACCAGCTGTTGCAATCCTGATAGATCCCATCCAACAGTTCCATCTTTATATGCAGGACATAAACTTGATGAGAGTGATGTCAAATTCTTAAGGCCTAAGCAGGAACAGAAGGATGACTCATTCGATACAGACATGAATAGCTTTGACCATACAAATGCTTCATCTTCGACATACAACCATGTCTTGGGAAATTTCGGGTCTTGACTATTTTTCTAGGCTTCTGCATTTTGGTCAGCAAATAAGGTCTGTCATTTTTTTTTTATGGCTTTAAGTATTCCCTTTTTTTTTTGTTATTTGATGTGTTCTAAGTTCTTGTCTCACCCATTTTCACTTTTATTCGCAGGAGTAAAGATGCTGGATTGATCATTTTCTTCTCATCTGTATGGATGGCTGAACATTCCTATTTTCCGCCTTTTGTTTTAGATACTCAATTGGAAAATTTCCAGAGCTGCCATTTTGATGGGAAAACGGATTTTGGAGCTGAATATTCCTATTTCCCGCCTTCAGTTTTAGATACTCAATTAGAAAATTTTCAGAGCTGTCATCTTAATGGGAAAACGGATTTTGAAACTAAATATTCCTATTTCCTGCCTTCAAGTTTAGTTACTCAATTGGAAAATTTCCAGAGCTGCCATCTCGATGGAAAACGGATTTTGGAGCTCAATATTCATATATCCTGCCTTCAAGATACTAAATTGAGATATTTTCGGAGCTGCCATCTTGATGGGAAAACGGATTTTGGAGCTGAACATCCCTATTTCCCGCCTTCAGTTTTAGATTGAAAATTTTCGGAGTTGTCATCTTGATGGGAAGACCGCCTTCAGTATTAGATAACTCAATTGGAAAATTTTGGAGCTGCCATCTTAAAATGAAGACGTATTTTGGAATGAAGGAGCTGATAAAGCAACAGTCTTCACGTTCAATTTTGATTGAGACATATAAATGTGATTCCTACATCCTATCTCCCACTGCATTTGAAGCTTTTTTTTTTTTTTTTTTTATTTTTAAAAAAAGACATTCTATTCTCACCTTCTTGTTGCCTTTCTATGTTTCCTTTCCATCTATAGTTACCAAGCAACAGAACACTCTTCAGAGATAATACCAGAGCCCTGAAACGGGTGCATCAGTCAACCATACATGTGGGGCTTCTATTTAGTTGTTAGTCGAAGCTTGGTTAAGGCCCGATGGCTCGATCCCTGTCATTAAGAAGCCATATAATGTGATCTATGGAGTAGTATCTACTATATTGTTAGATACTACAGCGATATCTTCCAAAAAAAAAAAAAAAAAAAAAAAAACTACATCGATATTGCAAATCCTTGTTATGTAAGAACTATGAATTGGGATTGAGTATTGCTTCTTCTCCAGTTAAGTCTTGTAAATAAGTCTTTTATACAATTGGGAATTAACAGGTAAAGGTGGTGACACTATGTAAGATCAAACAATACGTTTTATTTTTAAGCTTCTTCCTCTGCCATCTTTTCCTCAACATACTCTTTGTAGACCTGACAAAGCTGACTCGACTAAAACATAATGTCGAAGTGAGATTCAAAACAGCTCACAAAAGCTCACAAATACATGTTACAAGCAAAACAGCGAGCAAATACATAATGTAAATTTGAACAAATGCTTGTCAACAACATTCCCCACATAGGCAACATGCTCCAAGTAGCTCACAAATACATGTTACAAGCAAAAGCAAACAATCCGATGATGAAGTTGAAACATGATGATTCTTGGTTTTAGTTTCATCAAAAGGGGTTTTTGGGTGTGTATCATCATGATGAATTCGCATCGATTTCATATCTGGGGCTTTGACATTACTCAGAGGGCATTCCATCTTTGTATGAGAGCCTTTTTCAACACCAGTATGATCAATGGTGCTGGCTTTTTCATCACTGCTGTTGACGGTTGTGGCGTCGATTTCTTTAGTGACAATCTTCTCTGGCTTGGGTTTTTCAATCATGGTGTAATTGGTGTTGGTGTATTTTGAGCGGATTTATATAGCAAGGGAGCAACTCAGTATGTGGACTAGGCGCCTCCACAGGATTGTCAAAATTATACTTGTATTTTTGGTAGTATTGAGTCAATATGTCAACCTTATACACTATGCGCTTTGAGGAATTGTCAAAATAATACTTTTCGTAGTCTTCAACTACATTATCAAGTCAAATGTGTCAACCTTATAGTATGCGCTTTCTTAATATTAGTATATAGTGATTAGTTTTAAACGAGAGGTAAAAGATTCAAATTGCAAGAAGGGCCTCTGACCACTATACCAATTCTTAATTTTTGCTATCGATATAACTATATATTAGCCGTTAAAATTATATACCATAAGTCATACATAAACTCGTACCACACTTGGAATGGTTCAACCTGAATTAACCAAAGTGGCGATCAGAGCCCTGAAGCAACAACTAATTGTTGTAAACTTGTACAGTTGTAATCCGTATTATTCAATTAAAATTACCAAAATATGAAGGTCAATCCTCTGTTTCAATGGTGGATTGGTGGGGCTTTAATTTAGTTTTTGGATGAAGCTTGCTGTTTTTGCATCCTCTTCGACATCTGCTAATCTTTGTTTTGTATTAAAATAATCTGAATAGACCTTTTTTAATATGCCTTTTTAGTTTTTTACAGCTTGATTAATGGTGAAGCAATGTTAAGATCAACAATGCAGTATTTTTCATTTTAAAGCTCTTCTTTATGCCAAATGTTTTTCAGCTTACTTATGACAAAGAAATTAACGTATGTAGGGGTAGAGTTGGCTCAACTCGAATTCAACTTTGACTCGAGATGTTAACAAGCACGTTTAGAAGGGCCAAAACTATAACAAGTAGATTGTGAGATACTCGACTCAAACCTTTTACGAGCACAAGTCGAATAGGTTTCATTGGCCGAAAATGTTAACGAGCACGAGTTGAGCACAAGTATAAAGCTTTTAAGTCGAGTCTAACACCCCTAAATCCGTAAGAGTATGTTTTGCCACTTTCCAGAATCAAGATGCTTATCAATCAAGCAATAGTCGAAATAATAATAATAATAATAATAATAATAATAATAATAATAATAATAATAATAATAAGTAATAATAATAATAATAATAATAATAATAATAATAATAAGTAATAATAATAATAATTTGATTGATTGAATTTGTAGGTTTTTTTAATAATAATAATAATAATAATAATAATAATAATTAAAACAAGGTTATTCTCAACAAAAACAATTTCAGCAAATGCTTGTCATTAAAATTCCCCAATAACTCAAAAGATAAGTTGAAAGCAAAAGTTAATATTCTCCTCTTTCAATCTCCACTCCACATCCATGATGACACTTGTAGATTGTATTACAGTGTTCCATATATTATCATAATTGACTAATTACACTACATTACGAAGTACATAGTTTATCATCATCATATTATCATGTATGATCAATTAAACTACCAGTAATTGCTATGATTATATGCTTATTTACAAAAAAAAATCATCAAACTATACTTCCTTTCCAATTAATCATAGCAAAAATCCAAGTATAATTGAACTTAATCAAAACTTTGAGTAAATATGAACAATTTTTCCAAGCATAAGAAACTTAACAATTCCAAATACCATAAAAAAAAGCAGGATTAAAACAGAAAAAAGATCGATTTTTTTAATAATCAAACATTAATTCATCATAATCCTCTTCTTCAAGACTCCACCCACCATTCCCAACATATATATCTCACAGAACCCCACATCCCAAAACATCAACAACAAACACAAATCGATCGAAAAAAACAAAGAAAACATCATAAAATCCCAGATCTCAAACCCAGAAAAATACCAGATTCTTCTTTTCTTCAACCCTAAAAATAAAGATCAAAATTAAAAATTACTACTTCTTCAAACTCCCACGAATCCCAGGAGGTGGACCGGTTGATGAAGTCGAAGCATGAAGATTGTTAATCTTATTCTCATCAAAAGGGATTTTAGGGTGTTTAGCATCATGATGAATTTGCATCGATTTGACATCTGGGGCGGTCACTTTGCAAAGAGGGCATTCCATTTTAGCATGACCACCTTTAACGGCGCCGGTACGATCGGCGACGCCGGCTTTACCGCCGCCGCGATTGGTGGTTGCAGCGTCGAGTTTGGCCGCGAGTTCTTTGGCGGTGTGCTTCCTTGGCTTGGCTTTCCCTGTCATGGTGATGGAAATTGATTTTCTCTCTCCTAGGGTTTGTGGGGTTTGATGGATGGGAATTGCGGGAGGTGGGAGAAAACCCTAATTTATAAAGTGGGGGAAAGGGAGATTGATTCACAATTTGGGGGTTTATTATTTGAGAATTGCAACTTGGGGTAGGAATAGGATAGGGGTATTTTGGGAATTTTTTCAATGTTATCTCTTTGGTGTTCTTCCATAAGAATCTCTATGATCGAATCCATCAATCTTTGGTTTTGGGTCCAAACAAATTTTGGGATCGGTTCAGGTTCAGCTTGTGTTTTTAGCACTTTGGGTCCAAATAAATTTTCGATTCGAGTGGCTAGACACCATTTTTAGAACTTTGGGTTTTGGACAGTATAAAATTTATATTCAAATTACTCCGTATTAATTTTGACTCGGCCTGAAGTCCGCTATTACGGGTTTGGACACAAATGTGAACTTGGGTCCAGCCTAAAGCTTTGGATCAAAACGAGCCAACTTTTTTTTTTCTTTCCCCCAGGACTTGACCCGTGATTATATATCATAAAATTATGATTTCAAGGTGATTAGATCTTATACCTAATTAAGTGTAATGTGTAATATAAGGTGAGATTAGGGTTGATCAAGTGTAGGGCATGTTACGATTGACTGAACTCAGCTGAACTGAACTGAACTGAATTTATTAATTAGTGATTTTTAACTACGGATTAGTGATCTTTGATTATTTATTACTATACATATGTGTATATACAAATGTACATATTATTATTATTAATAATAATATTATTATTATTAATTATTGATTATTATTATTATTATTTATTGATTATTATTATTATTATTGTTATTGTTATTATTATTATTATTATTATTATTATTATTATTATTATTGTTATTATTATTATTTATTGATGATTATTATTATTATTTATTGATTATTATTATTAGTATTATTATTTCAATTATTATTGTTATTATTATTATTATTATTATTATTTATTGATGATTATTATTATTATTTATTGATTATTATTATTAGTATTATTATTTCAATTATTATTGTTATTATTATTATTATTATTTATTGATGATTATTTTTATTATTACTTATTACTTATTGATTATTATTATTATTATTATTATTATTATTGTTATTATCATTATTATTATTATTATTATTATTATTATTATTGTTAATATTATTATTATTATTGTTGTTGTTATTGTTGTTGTTGTTGTAATAAGAGCTTAAAAGAATGAAATTTGGCTTTATATCATTAGCAATATCATTAGACGTAAATTAAGAGCTGAACTGAATTGAACTGAATTTCAACGGAAGAGAACAGGCCCGTAATCGAGCCAATAAATTTGATTTAGATACATTTAGGTGAAAAAAAGAACTTTTTACCATAAAGAATGCTAAAAATATTAAATTTCCCTATTCATCCCCATTTTCAATATTATAGGCCTTGTTTGGCAAATGGCTGTTGGCTGGTTCACTTGGCTTGTTTGACCAGCTGGAATGTTTGGCTGTTTATAATGACTTTTGAAATTGGTTGTTTATAAAAGTGTTTGGTAAATTAATTGTTGATTGTTGGCTGTTTATTAGATAATTTGTGGGCCAACAAGCCAAAAGCCAACAAAAAAAGCTACTCAAAGCAGCTTTTTCATTTTGGTTTAAAAGCCAGCTTTTTCGCTGACTAAAAAGCCAATTACCAAATACATTTTTTGGCTGTTTGACCACCTAAAAAAGCCATTAAAAAGTCAATTACCAAACATGGCCTATAATAGATTTTCCCATCCCAACAAATTAAAAATATACTAAAACGAAGGGAGTATGTACTAGTGTATCGTTGCCAAGACTTTAACCCCCCCCCCCCCCCCGCCCCTTTTTATGGTAAGGAGAAGGCCTATCCTAAAAGGGGGGGTAAGGGAAATCTCTTCTAAAATATATTTGTTGAGATTCAATCCTTGCCTCGCACCTGAAAATCGAAGAACTAACCAACTACTCTAACCATCCAGACTTTAACTGGGGATTATTTTTTTTAAAAAAAAGGTCTACAAAAATACAAGGCAATCAAGCATGGAATGAATATGTTTAGTCATTTGTAGGCCTGTGTCCTGGACACAATCTGTCTTCTATACTATAAATGGTCCATTCATACACACCCATTCAAGCCCAGCTTACAAGGGGCCCAGCTCATGGCCTTTCCAATGAATTCTGTCGTTGGTTATCCTTGCGCAAAAGGGTGACTTTCATTATTTTGGGGGTGACAATTAACCTTTTTACTACTAGTATGTATTTCTAGTTTGTACTCCTATTATGCTACAGAGTACAGAGTATGTAAAACTTTTATTACTTATATGAAAGCTGAGTTGAAGTACTGTATATAATTCGTCAAAATAGTCACCATTTCCTGTTTTGTTGAATACTTAAGTATTTTAGCCAATAGATAACAAAGGAAAACTATTTATACATGTATACAGAAATTGAAGGGCAAATGAATAAGCCAACATTTATATATTTGTCTCTTGAAAAATACAAAGAGTCAAGAAATACTCACATTTTCTACTTTGTATCCACAATAAACCATGCATCATTCAATAAAAAAACTTAGATTTTCTTACAGATTAAAAAGTTTAAAAGCGCAATTTTGTAAAATTGAATGTTAAAATCCTTTTATCCAAAACCAAACGGCCTAAAAATAATAATGTTGATCTATACCGAATAATTACATAATAACACTAAATACTCCCGCTCAAATTATATGCCTTATTTACAATAACACTTCCCTCTAGCGAAGGAATTTGGAAGAAATCAGCACCTACAGGAATACAGATATGATCCTTTAAAGTTTTGGGTGCATCTCTCCTTTGGAGGAAAGGACACTTGATTCCAAAAGCAAAAGTTGTTCTTGTTCCTAAAGTAGTCAAGTCAAACAAAGAACAAATACTGATATTCTATCCCAAAAATGACAACATAAAATCCATGGATCAGCATAACACCAGAGTAAAATAGTCTACTGACAAGAAATTCTCCAGATTAAATTCTGATTTTACTGAGTAGGCATTATTAGTCATGGAAAACTTTGATTATGAAAGGTGATACTTAATGACCCAGTTCCTCAAATCAATTGTAAAGGCGCGGTAAATTGTTAGGCTTAGGCCTAGGCCGAGCCAACTTAATCCAGTAGATAGAAACATCTTGCACCGTAGGGCAACTAACAACGAGCTAACCTTGTACGACGATCTACAATTTTATACACATTACATCATATTTGTGCAATATAATCAAAATTATAAAACAGAAGTAATTTGCATCGGTGGAACAATGAAAGTACACATGAAACTAAGAGAATAGACAATAGAAGACAATAGATGGGAAAATTTTCTTTTCTTTCCTTGATAAATCGATATACATCAAATTTCTTTTTAAAAATGTAAAATGACATTCTTTCTCTCTTTCCCTAGATTCGTATGAGGATTGGTTCCAAAATAATTAACGGAAAAGATGAAAAAAAAAAAAATTAATATTTCCACGCTTGTTCCAAAGTAACTAAAGAACAATGTAGGCCAAAGGATGACTAAAACAAAACTTTCCCATTTAGAGTATAAAAGAATAAGAGAAAAAAGGCAGCAAGCTGAAAGTTTTGGCAAGCAAAAGTTTTGCCAGAAACCTGCACTCTGGCTTAGCTAACGTTGATCCGGGCTGTCGGCATGTTGTCTTCTCGGTCCAGCAAACGCCTTTTATTAGAGCCATAGCCATGATATTGGTAGATGAGGCTGTAAAGGGACTGTCTAATGCGCAAAACATCATATTTCTCCATAAACCTCATGTCATTTGTCCTGGCTTTGGCACCTGCAAAGCGTTGGTATTCCTCAAACACTGAGGACAAACACCAGTTCTGCAATTTCCTAAGACAGCCAACGAGGCAACCAGTGCGATGCTGTAAATACCAAGGCAAAAAATCATGAGCAACACAGTTGATAAAGTTGACATGTTGAAAAATCAAGAATACAAGAACTAGAACTTTGGAGCTCAATGAAATATTCTTGAAGTTAAGCTATTACCTTTCCACGTTTGCAATGAATCAGAATTGGATAATTTCTTACATCTGCAGGCAAAAAGAAACTCAAAATTAGATGAATTATGAATTTAGAAGTCACAAAGTGAACTAGAAATTATTTAACGCTTTGTGATAGTTCACGTAGAACTACCTATCAAAATCCTAAGAGCCTCATAGATGACATCCTCAGGGATAGTCTCCTGCCAGAAGCCACAGCAACAGCATAAGATAACAAAACAATAAACTTACTTTCCACGCTAGCCCATTAACATAGCTAATACATAAGAAACAAAGTCTGAGAGATCTATAACATGGGTGCTAATTGTTTCACGTTGTTAACATCAAATTCATCCATTATCAAAGGATACTGCCAACCAGTATGCATGGAACATTCTGATATAAACTATTCCAATTGTAACAATCTTATCACAGAGCTTAGCAAAAATCAATTCACAGGTTATGAACAATGAATATTTAGATTTTCCCCAATTTAGTGTAACAATATTATCACAGAGAGCTTAGCAAACATTAATTCACACTCTTGCCTTTCCAACTCAATCCATATATATTTTATTGGGTCCATTAGATTCGTCAATGCACAAATGACTCAAGCCTAGTCATGTTGAGCAAGAGATAAAGCAACTTTTAAGCCCACTCATGTGATCCTCCAAAAGAAAAAAATAAAATAAAAAAGCCAATCGCTTAATTCCCACCACATGTGAAAAGCTCGATTTCACGGTACAAAAGTCTTCACCGTATAAAGGATCCCATACCTATCAACAATTAAGCCTCAAACATATCCACTTTCCATATGTAACTTTCAAATTTTTCCCTCCATGGACTTTGTGCTAGGAAGAAAGGTAAGGAGGACGGAATTTATTGTAAAACCGAATAAACACGTAAAAGATAACTAGGACAAGCTGCTTTTCTCCCAGGAAGGAGAAAAGACGAAGTACGACAACGAAGATTGACACACTTTATAGCTAGATAATCACATCCCCTTTAGTTAAAAACCATCCATCTAAATTGATAGCGATTTATAGAATTAACAAGCTCCCTCCATCACCATTCTTTAACATATCAATCAATGGTTCCCAAAATGTCAATCAAAACCTAAATTGCACGAATCTTTGAAGTCTACAGGGCATAAACACAAACTAAATCGAAATCCTAGCACTCCACGTCTCTAAACATCATTATCATAAACAAAGTTCTAATGTTACTTGTAACAAACCTCTGGTTAACTTGCCAAATTCTGTTTTCTATCCAAATAATCCAAGAAAGACGTATAATTAAATTCAGCAATTCAATAAACAATTTCTATCAAACCCTAATAAAAGGGGAAATTTTTATCTCTCAAGAATTAAAGCATTGTTAATTGTATAATTATTCTTCACAAAAACCAACTAATAAGCATTAAAACAACCAAAAGGAATAAAGATTTCCAATCAACACCCAAAAAAATTCAGAAAAAAATAAATATCATACGGAAAATATAAATTCAATAAAATTAAACACAGAAAAATTATACCTTAGTTCCCTCAATTCCAAATTGATACAATCGAATATTATGTGATTCAAGAAACTTCAAATGCTCTTCTGGGTATGGCTCGGTACACAAATATCTGTAACATTGAAATTTAAATCAAATAAATAATTATAACAAAATCAAATAAAATCCCATTAATTATAACACACTAATTAACCCCAAATTACAATAATTAATCACCAAAAAAATCAAAAAACTTACATGATAGACTTGAGACTTAGGGTTTCGAGGAAGCCGAAATTTGAAGGTTCTGGAAACCCAGATCTGTAAAGCCCATCTTCCACCATTGAAAAATTGGCAGGAGGAATTAGAACATCATCATCTTCTATTATCTCTCCTCCATTTTTGCCGCCATCTTCAACCTTCTTTTTCTTCTCCTTTTTCTGCTGCTTTTCCCACAATATTACGCTCATTCTTCAAGAAATTTATTTAATTATTAAATTCTATTGATTAGAAAATCACCCAGAAAGAATTTGCAGAAGAAAAAAAAGAAAAGGGGAAATCATCAAGAGCAGCAACTACAAGAACAACCCAGAAAAATAATCGAATTGTTCTCGAAAATTAATTCCCACATTATTTATAAACGAGGGGAATATCTGAAAAAATTATATAAGAAAAACCCAAAAAATAATACGAATTGGGGATGAAGAAGGAGAAGAGAGAGAAAGTTGGATGAAAGTAGGATTCTAGAGAGAGAAAGTTGTTGCCCGTTGGGATTCTTGTGAGGGAGACGCTTACTAAAATACCAACACTTATACACAAATTAAATTACTGTAAATATAAATATAAGTAATTTCCTTTTTATTTTTTTTTTCTTTTTTCAGTTTTCAACATATTTTTGGGTTGTTTTACCTAGTCAACAAATTTATACAAAGCTTTTTTTTTTCTTTTTTTTTTTCCCCTTCTAAAGGGTTTGAGAGTGAATATAAAGGCAATTTTATCTGCTTAAGGAAGGTTTTTTTAGGGGATTAATTTGGAAAAAAATACAGCTAGTAAAAAGATTTTATTTTGTGTTTGGTGAATTGGATAGGATAACAACCATAATTATTGAGTGTTGGGTTGGATAAAATTCTGTCAAGGCTAAATATTACTCCCTATATAGGTTGAGAAATTATGGGATTTTGTCATTTTGAGGTTGAGAAATTATGGGATTTTGTCATTTTGATATTATATAATCATATTGTGCACATAATTAAACATGGACAAATTTAACCTAGTTTGAGCGGAACAATTAAAATAAGGTTTTGATTACATTTATTATTAGTATTTTGAACTCCATCTTTTATAAATTAAAAATTGATAGGAAAAAATAAGGTCCTCAAGCAACCTATACAATCTAACCAAGTCGATTTAGCATATAATACTCTTGGGTGTAGGATGGAGGGGGATTAAAGAGCCCAACACTAACCAAATACTATTTGGTATATACTATATACATTGTGTATTGTATAGTAGTTAAAATTAGTCAATATGGTATCTTTAAAATGATTGTAAATTTGTACTTTGTAATACATATGTAAGTAAATTTTACAATTAGTCAATTAGTTATTCGTTGTGCTTATCCTTGATACCTTGAATCCAATTATAAAAAAAATACCTAATTTTATCACAAGTAGTGAATAATTAAATTAAATCAAATGCATAGTAAGTTGCAGTAAACAAAGGGAATATTTTGCTTGCATATCTTTACTAAACCGTTTAATGTTGTTTTGTGTTTCACATGTGCTTAATTGACTTTGTGAAGGATGGTATAAACTATAGAATATAGATTCTCCAAGCTATACATTAAAATGTTGAATGTTAGTAGTATTTGTATTTCAATTATCAAATCCATTGTCTAAAAAAGTATACATAAAAAAAATATTTTATAAAATTGATCGATTTAGGTATACCAAAGTGCATTATTATCCTTATCAAAGGGGGGAAAAGTTGCATGATTAAGCACATTATAACAATTATATATTTATAATAATTCGTTTGACAAATTGTACGGCAACATCCACATATATATAAACAAAATAAAATACGGAGTAAAAATAAATAAAATAAAATAAAAAGTCATGATGAACAACCTACTCACTTAAGCATACTATATATTAACAAACAACAATTCCTTCAATATAAATCTCAAGGTTAATGGAAAAATTCTCAAGTAAAAAATAAGAGAGCTTAATTAATGGTTGTTAATAAATCCAAGACTTCATATACACGGTACACCTAAGGTTACATCTTGATCCCGAGTCACGTTCTCAAAAAAAGTAAGAACTAGGATTAGCTATGTATATAGCCAATATTAAAATATGATGAACAAAGTATTAATTATGATATTTATATGAGGTTTGGGGATGAGGCAATGAGTATACACTTATAAGATAAAATAAGATGCTAAATTTCATTCTACACATATTGTCATTTACACAATCTTGTTATTATCATCTTAATGAAAAAAGCATAGTCATTCACCACCTAGTGTCATTTAGGTAATCTCGCTATACCATCTTAATGAAAATGTATAGTAAGTTGTTTTTACTTTAAAGCCTTACCTTTGTATGTATTTGTCAAAAATCAACAAAAATAAAAAGTCTAAATCCAATATATCTATTTTCCGTAATAATTACGAGTAAGAAAGAAAAAACATACAAGCAATATTCAAGGCTTGTTCTTGGACACTTTATACCTTAATATTCAAGTTAGGATTAAGAGTGAAAGACCCGTGGAATATTAGACAATTGACCAACGTACCAATTAAGATGGATATAGTACTACTCACATCGTATTGTCGTACCTTAATTCTAGATCTGCCTTTGTTTTAAATTTTTAATTGACATTCTTCACTTAAATCAAGAAAATGACTACGTTTTTGGTTAAAAAAAATAAAAAATAAATAGAATTTTCATTTTATTTCCATTTCGTGGAATATGGGCTAACAAAATACACTAGCCCCCGTGTTAAAGGGATCTTTGACTTCAACGTAAAACCTCATTAGTCAATGTTCTTACGATGTAATACACACGATGTTTGGTTTTATACAAATATATGTGATAATTAAATTTTAAATTGAGTAAATTAATAATTTTACATGAACAAAAATGTTATTAACCGAGGAAACATCATCGACTTTAAAATAAAGATTAACAAACCTCATAGCGTGATTGACCTTTATCCCATTATATATATATATATATATATATATATATATATATATATATATATATATATATATATATATATATATATATATATATATATATATATATATATATGGATCATAGATTATTCAGTTAAGGGTTGCTCTATCAATCATGATCTGAGTTACTCGATTAGAGGTTACTTAATTGGTTAGGGGTTATTCGGTTAGGGGTTAGTTAGTCAAAGGTTACCCGGCTAGTGTATTGATGGATGTCATCGACCACACGAATGGTGTGTCAAAAAATGCGCTAACACTTGAATACAACTTGGTCACATGTTAAAGTATAACTTGGTTAAGTCATCCCAACTCCGTAAGTAAACACTTGAGAGTAGAAGGGAAGGTATGGAAATTCTCATACTCCTAAGCGCAAATGTAGTTGGTAAAGCTCGAATTTGTAACATCAATATTAACACTTTTTTTTTGTCTACTCTTTTTAGACATTTTCATACTTCATATTATTTTTGTGCGTGAGATATTACTACACATATTATAGCAGAAGGTTTTATTTCCCCTTGAATTTCGTTTACTTTAGCCCCTACTAAAAACTTCCTGGTTCCACCACCGAGTATAATTATGATAAAATTTAAATCAAAGATTAATGCGACAATAATATAAACTAATTTGGACAAACAAAGCTCCTAAAATATATACATACCTCATGTATGACACATTTTCAGTTCAAATTTACAACTATTATGTCCATCAAAACAACATTAATTGCCTAATTTACCTGAATTGAAAGCATTCCATTGAGTTGAAACTTTGAACAGCCTCCATATAGCTTAGCAAGTACTTGTATAATATATTATAATTGTGATAATTTCTTGTAGAAATATTAATAAGAATTTTGGAAGATGAGAGTGATGATGAGTGAAAAGAAAAGTTTGAATATCTAACAATATTGTTGTTTAAGGTGGAAGAAAGAGTCCACAATATTTGACTCTTTATATAGGCAAACAAATATGAAATGTGTACCTCTATTTCACTCCTTCAACGTCCCACCATTACTTAGAAAAGCCATTGAATTATGATTCTTGAATCTTTTTACCTTTTTCTGGTCCACATACTTTTATTTTATTTTTCTCCTTTGCCAAAAGTTGCAGTACAAGTATCAATTACGGCTATTAATCCTTAGAAATAAATGAACTTTTAATTTGTAATTTTTTTTACAAAAAATTATTATCATTATATTTCACTCAAGAATATAATCTATTATTCAAACATTTTATTATATGATGACATTAAAGCCGAAACTAAATGCTGTTTGACATTGTTTTTTGTTTTCAGTTTTTTTGAAAACTAAACCAAAAAAGGAAACAAGAAAAAGGTGTTTCCACTTTTAGATTGTCAGTTTTCAAAATTATCATAATTTTAATAAATTTAACTAATTTTTTATTCATTACATGATATATATCATATGATTTAAAAAAACAGAAAACCACGGTGATGCCAAACGAATCTTCGTTTGCATTGCTGTGGTTTTCTGTTTTTCGGTTTTTTGTTTTCTACAAGCATATGATATATATCCCATAATGAATCAAAAATTATATAAACTTATCAAAATTATGATAATTTTGAAAACTGACATCAGAAAAGTGGAAACACCTTTTTCTTGTTTCCTTTTTTGGTTTTTAGTTTTCAAAAAACAGAAAACTGAAAACCAAAACTGATACCAAACATACTAAAAATGAGTGTTTATTTCAATAAAAGTACGTGTAAAGAACTAAAGATATTTATAGATAAATCACATTATTACGTGAATTGCACATATGACGACAAGGTGATGACAATGTTAATGCTATATGCTCTCTCACATTTTTCTTGAAGTAGGATTAGCTAATTAGGTATATATCAGCTAATTACGGAGTAATAAAACTTGTAAAAACTTGTACTAATTTACCTTTCTAGTCCGGAAAATGAGTCCTAAGGTAGGGTATGATCAATATTCTACGTACTAATTTTGATTGCATGCCGCTAATTTGGGAATTTTTCCTTAATTAAACATATCATTCATCGATAGAATAATTTAATTACATTATTATATCTGGATCAATAATATATTGATGTGGTCATACATGATACAAAAAAGGGCTCGACTTGGAACGTCATTCTTCTTTGATGGAATCTGTATGTGTATCACAATAGTGTTTTAATAAATAATAAATAATAATGCAATGTTTAGGTACATTGAAAGATTACTGGTCCATCTTATAAAGTGTGTAAATTATTATAGATTATTTTTGACAAATTATTATAGATTATCAATTTGATGGAATTGTACATAAATTAAATATTATTGCTAGCCACCCCTGGGCTAGCTAAATAAATTATAGCTAGGTTAATTTATTACCAACAACGACCATGGGTCAGGGATTCCCATATGCTTCGTTAGTTCGTTATACACTTATACGGTTATACCCTCGCTCTACTCTTAAGTGTTGTCTTGTATAATTAGGGTTAGTTATGTTGTGAACAGTATCATTTTAAAAGACTTGACTTTTATGCAGAGCCTGATTTACAGTAAATTAAATTTCACAAATAATCCTATATCAAACATATTATAAAAACAAGTTTTCATATGTGGCTGACCATACCGTGTGTCCAATCATTATAGGGTTACTTTACTAGTGTTATAGAGGTTGCTCACTGAGTGAGTCAATTGTTAATCGGTCAGTGTTATAAGGGTTACTTTGTTTTTTTTACAAGCTGTCATATAGTGTAGCCAAACGCATACAAAATACGCTAATTTTATATTGTTTAATATTAAAAAATTATTAAATGTAATTAGTGTGTCGAAGTTATGTCCAAGAAGTGTTGAGCTAGTTTCGACATCTAAAGATTTAAGAGTCATGTTGAAGTATATTGTTATTCTTCTTCTTTAATCTTTATGGGGACATCTAAAAAGTGAAATCACTACTCTTAATTATTTTCCACTAAACTCAATTGATTTTATCAGGGGGAGTACTTCAAAGTATCATTGTATCAATAGTCTTTTGTGTTAGATAAATAATTTCCATAATATAAATATATAATTCTTTAATCCCATACGACATCTTCTATTTTTCTTTTTCTTTTTTAAAATCTAAATTTATATTAATTTAACTTAAAAGGTATTCACAAAATGACCTATGCAATGGTCCTGTGCCCTATGGTAACCAATAAGAAGTATTTAGATAATGCATTATCTAAATTTATCCATTATTATTGTTCCATCCTTGTCCCCCCCTTCTTTACATTAGGAAAAAAAAGGCCAATTTAAAGTGTAAAATCCTTTAACTCTTTTAGTTTTGTGATTGTCAACTTTTTTGTTGATTATTTTTTAGTATTACTAGGTAATATATACGCCGTCATTAAATAATAAACAAAGTTTTATGTTCATTATTTGATATATCTCACAATGTTATATTAAGTACTTGTTCTTTCAAACTTTAGAATTAAGGTTTTGATTTTTTTAAATTATTACTCTGTATGATCTTATGATTTGATTGTATTTGAACTTGGGGTGGTTGTAGATCTTATTAACCCTTATCATAATTTTTAAAAATTTATTTAATCTCTAAATATTCATGTAATCTTTATTTAAGATTATTTTTGTTGAAATAAGTGATGAGAATAAGGTGAACAACAAAGAACGACCTACATAAAGATAAGATAAGTACAGTTTAAATGATATTAACTTATCGGACTTGATTTAGACTTTTTGTTTGGTTACACATGATTGATGATCTTGGTCATCCCTAGCTTAATTAGTTATAAAACTTAATTTTTAAGATGAATTGAATCCACCTCTAGTTCTAATAAAGGTTAATAGGCTAAGGGTATTATACCAATGAATAAAGTCCAATTTACAATTTTAATTAGTGTGTTAAATAATCTGAATATATACATGGTGTAACTAGATAAGTTTTGATCGATAAGTTTAAAATTAAACCTCCTTCTAAGGACCTGTTTACATGTACTGAAGTGATCTGAGCTGAACTGAACCGATTGGAGCTAAAATGAGCTGAACTGAAATGAGCTGAAAAGAATATTTTATGAAAGAAGGAAATTAAAAGCTAAACTGAACTGATTGGAGGCGAACTGAACTAAAATTAAGTTGAAGTAAAGAGTACCTAATTAACTTTAAGTGCTACTTCGTATATAATACGAAGTACATCTAGGCAAAGCAAAGATGTTATTGGACCCTCTAATATATATAGATGTCATTTGTTTGGTAAACACTGAAGAGTGTAATTCCTTCTAATTCAAGATTACTCCTTATTTTTTTCATAAGAGAATTTATAAAGAATCACACGGAAAAGACCTCTAGAATGCATGTAAGGATGCGTCATGCACTCATGTTTCATGCATGGTGAATCATGTTGTAATAACAAGATTAGTTCGTTATACAAGAGTTTGGAAATCTACATGGAATATTGTATTGTCTAACACCTTTTATTAGTTACGTTATTATGTTATCATCATAATGCAATTTTTATATCCCAACTGTCCATATAACATACGCAACACTAGTGGTTCCATCACCTACGTGCTGTGTGTTGCAGGCATTATATTATTTTTACGCTCTGGATTGATATGATGTGATTTATGTTAAGGATAACAAGTTCAACTGTCTTACGTACATTAAAGAAGAAAAATGGACCGAAAGCTAATAATAATAATGAAATCATGTTAATTAGACTTGTATGTGATCAGATTCTCTCCGTACTAATAATCATACCGAATACCATCAAAAGAACCCAAAGTCTAAATGTTGGGACAACAGATGAATAGCAAATCAAATAAAAGAATAAGACAATTTGAAAGGGTCCAATTTTTGCTACGTAATATGACAAGAAGGGATACAGGATGCTTCATGACTTTATATGAGTGTAAGTTCATTCATGGAACTATTATATTACACTTAATTATACCCATGAATTTAACCTAAACTATTCTCGTCTCTCAATTTGATCTTTGAACTAGTGGATATCAAATCTTTTTAATAGTTTTTTGTGTTTTTTGGGGTGGAAAGTGGAAGGTGGCTGTCTATGGTTATCTGTTGTACTAGCATTGTAAAATTTATTTTTTTAGGTGATTTGATTTTTGACAATATATCCTACACTTAAAGCACCATGTATATATTTAGCTAGTATTCTAACTTGGAATGTTAGTGTCTTAGTGAATAGTGATGCGGACCTTTTTTCAACTTGAGTGCACCGTATATAAGGGCCTGTACTCATTGATTGAACTCAGCTAAACTGAACTGAACTGAATTGAGCTGAACTGAATTGAAATGAATATTTTATAAGAGAAGGAAATTGGGAGCTGAACTGAACTGAACTAAACTGAATTTCAACGTAAGAGAACAGACCCTAAAATTGAAGATTTTGATATCACATTCTATATGAAACAAAGAAAAAAAAAGAAAAGGATACAGAGTACTACATATTATATTTTTGATATTGTTCCAAACCATTATATTATTCTAAAGTCTAAACGGTAATTTTCTATAATTAAAATTATCTTTTATTATTTACAAATCATGATCATGACTTTGATGCTACGTCATGGGTCATGGATATCTATTTTGATTCTTTCACTAATCAAAAGTTTATCTCAACTTACCATAATACAAGTCAATACAATATTTTCTTTCTCAATTTAATAAACTTTAACACGTGTAATTTTATAGTGGGAGTATTAGTTATTTTAAAAAATAAAGATTAATTAACAAAAAAAAAAAAAGTTATTGGTCAAAATGTCAATTGAATCTTCTCAACCAATGTGTCAAGTTCACTTCAAAAGTTGAAAACGTGTGAAGAATATTCATTATATCCATCTACCATTTAAAAAATATATTAATATGTAAATTTGAATAGATAGGATAATGTTTTAATTAGTGTTTTATTTAGTCAGGTCAAGTCAGCCATTCTTTTGGAATCCTTGGCCTTTTATAAAATTGTAAAGGTTGTTTCCAAGCAATTTAGTGTTGAAGATATGAAGTGGGGGAAAAGAAGAATACTTTCACTTTGGTCAAATAAAAACGTTGAACCCTTTGGCTATTGCTTGTCAAAAAGTTGATTAGAATAAAGTTTTAAGTATTTTATCAATTTTTTAATTGTCTATATACATCTTTCAAAGTTCTAATATGTTGAATTATAATTCGGAGTATTTATGAGACACATGTTAGTGTTTCAAATTCATAAAAAAAAGATAAAGTTAAAACACTTTATAAGATAAATAGGTTACTTCTTCTTTCGTCATACTATGTATAATTTACGAATAGTTACTTGAACTTGTAAGGTAAACTCTCTCTCGATAATAGGTACAGTCCAAATCTATATTTAACATAAAATCGCTCAAATCTCATTTCAGATTTTTTTTTTCAAACAAAAGACAAATTTATTTACTTCGTATTTTATTATTATTTCCTGATTACACGAGGGTGATAGAATTGAGATTCATGAAATTCTTACTTTTTATAATCTCTTGGACTTTGTTTTTAATTGGAGTTTGAAGTGTATACAAACTTTTGGGTTTTGGGAATGCAGTTTATTCTTGGGCCTGAACTATATTAATTATTAGTTCATTTAGTCTTGGGCCCTCTTGGACCAACCCAGCCCAATTCAATCTTGAACCAGCCCAACCATAAAAAATGGATATCCAAAAAAAATGGCATGTCAAATAGTCCGAATACCTGATATAAAAAACAAGAGTATTTGTAAAGATGAGAGTGGATAAGATTGGATCCACCAATTATCCAATCAGAAATCAGGATACTTAACTCACAACCATGAATTCTAAATTTGAAGGATAACCTCTTCTTTCTTTATTTTCTCTTTCCAAATCTTTAACTTAGTAAGTATACTATTATACTATATTGTCACTCTTCTCATTCTTAAAACTCTTTACTCAATTTTTTGTGCTTTTGGTACAACTATATTTTTTTATTAGGGAGGCTTGTAAAAATGGCTGCAACCACATCGCCAATGGCTAGCCAATTAAAGAGTGGGTTCACCACTAGGGCTCTTGTGGCTCCTAAGGGCATTTCCGGCCCTGCTTTGCGAGCTTTCCCTTCTTCTAGGAGGAACGTTTCTTTTACCATCAAGGCTGTTCAATCCGAAAAGGTATTATTATGCTCATATTAGGTTACGTGTTATATTGCTATGTGCTCCTATTGCTTATTTTGTGACATGAACACAAGATATTGAGTTTTAAGTAATCATACGGTAATATATAAATTAACTAATAACGTTTGTGAATACTATTGATTGTGATTACAATGAACACGTCTAGTCATAAATTCACCTCTAATAGTTATATGGAATATCAGATGAAACGATTGATGATTAGTCGTAGATAAATGATGGTATTAGATTATTGTATACGCCAAGGTATTTATTACTCCGTACACAGATATAAAATGCATTGATGGCAAAATTTAGCTTTCTTAGGTATGGAATAATAAGTGGTGTAACTTAATATTAGTTGATAATCATGTGAATCAGTGGAGATTTAGAATAATATCGTACCAAATCTATAGTTATATTTTGGAACGCACACTAAAATTGATATTGACAGTAATTTGGTACATTGAGCTGACCAGAAATTCGGTGATCTAGATCTTTGATGATGTATGTTTGCTGACATGTCTGGTGGTTTTGGTGATACCAGATTACCAGAACCTAGAATTGTTAAAAGGTCAACAGTTTTATTCTGAAAATTAAATATTTCTGGAGTAGCTGTTTTTTTTTGTCTCTTAATTAAGTTTCTAATTTAAAATCTAATCTCTTCAGCTTAATTTCAGTTGAAGTTCAGTTCAGTTTTTAAATTGCTTTTCTCATAGACAATTTAGTTCATCTCAATTCAGTACTCCGTTAGTCTAATTTTTTAAAATTAACTAGTCATATTATGCTTAAATAATTGGCTGTTTTTGATTGGCTGGTAGACGTTACATTTATTTTTATGTCTTTATTTAGCTCAAAAAAAAAAAAAAAAAGCTTAAATAACAGAGGGATGGCTAGAGCTCTCCTCCCGCTTTCAAGTGATGTAATAGCATATCATATACACTATACTTTTTTACTACTTCCATTCACATGTACGAAGTATATTATAGCTTGATTATACATTTATATGAAGCAAAGGATAGTTAAAATATCTGTGCTTATGAAACAAACAAAAAGAATATAAAAAGTAGTTTGTAACATCTTTAATATATTCGATTCTCATGATGGATATAGGTAGGAATAAATGATTAGAAAATCTGAAGTTCTTCAAGGGTTGAATAACACTCAATAACTTAAACGATCAAATTGATCACTAATAGTTTGAGCTCATTATTACTAGGAGTTGTAATTTTTTTTTTTGTCAGTATATTTTTTCGGATATAAACTTGCAATATGTTCAGAGAATAGTTTGCTAAATAATTTTGTCTACATCATTGCCATTTATATAATTATACGCCCAGATTAACCGATAAGTTATGAACAAAATTAACTTTGTTTATAATTAATTTCTTTGACAGCCAACATACCAAGTAATCCAGCCTCTAAATGGAGACCCATTCATTGGTGGGCTTGAGACCCCAGTGACATCCAGCCCATTGATTGCCTGGTACCTATCCAACCTCCCAGCCTACAGGACTGCAGTCAACCCACTTCTACGTGGTGTTGAGGTGGGCTTGGCCCATGGATTTCTTTTGGTTGGCCCATTTGTCAAGGCTGGCCCATTAAGAAACACTGAGTATGCTGGTGCTGCAGGTTCCTTAGCTGCTGCAGGACTTGTAGTAATCCTAAGCATTTGCTTGACTATGTATGGTATTGCTTCCTTCAAGGAGGGAGAGCCCTCTATCGCCCCGTCTTTGACATTGACCGGGCGAAAGAAGCAGCCTGACCAGCTCCAGACTGCTGATGGGTGGGCTAAGTTCACCGGAGGGTTCTTCTTCGGTGGTGTTTCCGGTGTTACATGGGCTTACTTCCTCATGTATGTTCTCAACCTTCCTTACTACTTCAAGTGAGTTAGGAATTTGAGATCATGGGTAGTATGGTTCTGGTTGTAAGGGGCTAAACTTCTATTATTGTGAAGATGGAAAAAGATATTGTATATTGAAGGAAATACTCTGCTTTCTGTTTGCTCCTTAATTTGCTTTGTTCTTGTATCTGCTTTAATTTGTAGTTACAAGACTTACAACTAGAAGTAATCAACATTTTGCTAATTGAAATCTACTTTGACAATGAATTTCAAATATACGCATAAATTTCCAATATCCATCCCAAATAATAGGTCACTTCTCTATGATAGTTCGTTCCAAATTAATTGAATTGAAAACCTTTTAAGTTTCTATAGTGAAAAATATAAATCATCCCAAATCTCCCCCGTCTGCTTACATTTTTTGTGCAAATCAATTATTATACAATGCATCGGAAAATCACAATAAAGTGTGAATCCTTCAACGCATATAATACACAAGATATGACATGAGTACTTGTGACTATGATAAAAAAAAACGGAGTGAAAAGTGAAAGATTTTCTACATCCTCTCTTTGATGGTCGTATCGGTCGAGTATTTTTCTTTTCCAGCTAAGCAAGACTGTACACGTACGTTTCATGAATCATTCAAGTTGCTCCCATCTTTCTAAAGTATAGAGGAAAAGGAGTGGGATAATGATAATTGAGTAATCTAGAAATAATAATCACATTCACATTCGTTTTCTTTTCCTTCCTACGTATCACAACTTGTTCTTTACAACAAATGAGTAACTCTAGATCAAACCAATCATAACCAACCACAGTACAAATATGCAATATGATTATGGAGGTTGTGGTGGTGCATTATAAAAACTGCCATGATTTGTACATAATCACACAAAACCTAGCACAATACAAACCACATCATATCATATAATATATGCCCACAAAATAGAACCAACTTTGATTGCAAGAAATATATATAATACAAAGTATTATATTTATAATATATGATCAAAAGCAAAGATTTATATTAATTCTTCAAGACTAAGCTAATGAAGAGGAGGCATTGAAACTACTAACAAAGGTTGGACGGTCTTTTTCAGGAGCAGTTGCAAGATTATTAAACTGCTTCAAGGTAACAGCAGATGATGCAGGGTGATTGTGAGACGACGAAGACGACAGCAGCTCGGATGTGATGAGGTTATCCCACCCTATAAGTGGGTCTGTTTTAGCTAGGTTATCCCACCCAATGTGTGTTACGTGCTTCACATCGGTTGGACACCCGATTTCCATGTTCATCCCCAACTCTGCCATTTCATCTTCATAAACTGGAAGAGAGAAAATTGGAAGGAAAAGTTTAAAAAAATTCTGAAAATAACAAAAAAAAAAAAGGGTGCAAGGAACCATAAGTCTATATAGTACAGATTAAGATTGTACTACACCTTGTTATTTTGTACTCGTAAGACATTTAGAATAACACTGATAATAATTGTAAAGTCACCTTGATCTCACAATAAGTTATTAAGCACATAAGACAGTCATACACATTTTTTTTTAAATAAAAGGATCGGAGTGAGTATTATTTAGAGGTGTTTGGCAAGATGCAAAAAAGTCTAAACTGGTTGAAATGCAAATGAAATGATGAAGTCTTTATTTAATTTTATCTAGGTAAATGCATTTTTTTGTTTTCCCTATTTTGCATTCAATATTTTCAAATACATATATTCTGTACTACAACATATATATTGTAATACGTAGTATCAACTTAAAATTTGCAATTAGTTCGACAGCTAAAGACATTTTAAAGTGTAACGTAGAAAAATGTCTAGCTCAAAATCAGCGCGCCAGCATTATTGCAGTGAACAAGAAGATGATCATCAAACCAAATAACATAGGTGCTATGTAACGCATATAATTCAAATAATATGGTAGCGATCTTAATTTTATAAACTCATCTTAGTCATCTACGAAGTATTAGCTTTTCAACGAACAGGTTTTATTAGGCATGTGAATGGTATTGGTTCATTGCAGTACACATGCATGCATAGAGAGGAGAATTTGAAATCACCGAAAGAGTTGATTATATAAGACCCTTAGTCTAAACTGTTAGATTAAGAGTTCGATATCACATAGATGCATGTACACAAGATTGAATTTTTGTTATATTGCTCTGTAAGTTTAGGAGTTTTCTTTTGATTCACCCTTAGACCATACGCATATTACTTTCAAGGCAACTTTGATGTACCGTAGTTTGGAATGGCTAATCATAAAAAATTAAACAAACTTGAGGAAAAACGAGGAGCCACGTGACTTACTGAATAGTTGCGACAAACTTTTGAAACCTTTCACTAGCCTGTTAACCCCAGTGGACAAGTTAGTTCTTGGAAGTGCCAAAAACCTTGAAGAATTCTTCATGCTCTCACCAGATAAGCTTTCATCGTCGTCCTCTTCTTCCTGGATTCCTAGAAGTAATTGCAAACAAGAAAAATAATTCAAACACCGACTTTTAATCAAGTCTATACATACAGATTAAGAGCATATAAATATTATCATACTTAATGAAGGGGAATGTAAGTCTGCTTTTGATCTTCTAGGCCTTGGTTCAGCAACAGCAACACTAGCTTGCGAAGCACAGCCCATGGAGAAAGGAAGAACGACGAATTTCTCCATTCGATCTCTCACTTTACCCTGGACACCCATAGCAAAGTCAACAAAGATAGACAAAAGACACAAAGAGATTGAGAGATATATGCAAAGACGTATATATTTAGAGAAAATAAAAGTTATAGAAGAGGGTTTGCGGTTGTTATAGTAGCTGCTGTTAGCTTTGCTGTCAAGAAGGTATAATTTTACATGAGAAAAAAGTCAGTACCCATGTTGGTTTGGTGGGAAATAAAAAGGAGAAAAAAAGTTCAAAATTGAAAGGATGTTGTTACTTGTTAGTATAAGATTAAGCTATAAGAAATAAAATTGACAATACCACGGTACGTCGAAAGCAAATCAATGTCAAATTAGAGCAAAAAGACAGGTCTTAGCAGCAAAAAATTGTACCTAAATCCTAGTATCTAACAATTGATGTCTAAGTTCTGTGGTGGGCTCCTCTATCTTTGTTCCACTAACCTCTCTTGTGAGAAAAGCCACCAAAACCCCATTACTATTTGGTTTCTCAGCATTACTACTCTCTTTACTTGATTAGTACTCAATCTCCAAGAGTGGAACATAAGCGATATTACGTATTTTTAATCCACAGCTAAAACTGATGGTGATGCTGATTTTGAGCATTTCTTTATCCCAAAGTAGCTAATGATGAGGAAATTAGAATAATAGCACTAGTCAAAAAATGATACATTCCCTACTCCAACAAGAACAATATTCAAGGCAACAACAAGAGGTGGTAAACAAGCTATTTGAATCAGGTTTTGGTTTCGGTCAAATCGGATGTAGGGGAAGTTCAACTTTGGTGAGATATTTATTAATGTCAATTCAAAAGGAAAGTGGAGCAATAAATAAAATAGGGAGGGAGTACTGGTTTTCGGCTTGGGTTGGGTTTTTCTGGTTCGGGTCAAAACAAGTTTATTTACTATAGGTTATTTTAGTATGATACAGCATACAGGTCAGTTTTGCAAAGTCTTGTAACTGCTGAAAACAAAAAATCTTGTTTTAAAAAGTAAGCAAGTTTTGATCAAATAAGTTTTCAATGAGTAACCTTACAGCTGTTGTATGATAAATAAAATAATGAAAAGGTGTACACACTTGATCGACTAAAATCATGTCAAAAATCCACCTTAATATGTGAACCAGCTGCAGAAGAAATAAGATAAGCAGCCAAGAACCAATGATTATCATGATAATGCAGAACACTATCATCATAATGAGAATATAGGTACATCATTAATTTAAAGTAACAGAAGATGAGAAGAACCTATAAGATTAAAGCGAAAGAGTGAAAGAACATAGAAGCTAGAAAAAGAAGCATTATCTTAAGCACCTAATATCAGTAAGTTCCAATTTGATGACTTGATCTTTAAGGCTCTTCTTAATTAAAACATAAATTTCATTAAACGATGACGTACCTACAGAGAATTCAGGGGAGAGTGTTGATGAAAGATATACATAAAAGAAGTGTAGTAAAAGCCTGGTCAATTAACTTTTAGGGAAAACACTTAAAAACACAGTTTCACAGAATAAAAAGGGCCACTTCAAAAAAAGCCTCAATCCTTACAATTCAAAAGGGGGGAAAATATCTGGTTTTAAGTTATTCAAACAGGACTGCATAGCTGATTGTATACATAAACTAGAACAACAATGAAATCGGAAGATCATTTTCGAAAAGATGCACAAACATAAGGAAGAAGACTTGATGGATGATTTTTATTCAAGGAAGTGTAGGTTGAGAAATGTTGATCTGATCATGAAAACTTGTCAGATAAACAAGAATACAAGATACAGTGTAACATAAAGCTTTAAAGGATTTATGAACATTATACCTGCCCAAGCCCAAACATTGCCAAGTATCTGAAAGACATGAATCGATGAAACAAGGCGATTTACAACCATTCATAGCTGCTTTTTGGTCTGAATTTTGAACAATAAAAAACAGAACACCCATAAACCCTGTTCTAATATTTAAGCTTGAATGATACTCTGTACTCCACATTTTGAACGTAATGTGAATGCCAGGGCAATAACAGCCAATATGGTCCCTCATTTTAGAGTTCACCAACACATGCCATCAAGGTGTCATGCATGACAAATTACTTCCAGCTCACCAGTAATCTCCACAAGAACAGAGTCCATCCTTGAAATGGTGAAATCTACGAATATCTCTGACGATTATTTCCCTGCCTAAAAGCTGAGAGGTATACTTCAGAAAATTATGACAATCTGTACAGAGTCGAAGATTTTTCATGACCCGTATTGGTGTTAAACTAGTCGTGCTAATGATACCATATACAACGGCAAGCTTCTCACTATGACTACGGAGAAACATTTCCTGCTGTTCCTCTTCTACATCTTGAGTAACCTGCTCTAAATTAGTACAATAGCCTATCTCCTTTAGCCTACCAATTAGGTTGTCCAAATAAGAATATATATCAGCTTCTTGTGGATGAGTCCTATCACCCATAACAAAAGTATGAACTTGGTTGTTCAGTTGTATCCAAGATTGACCTGGGTGCTTTCTAACGCCTTTCTTCTGCATTGAACTCCTAACTCTAGCAGATTCTTCCCATCTGTTACTGGTAGCACACATGTTGGATAGCAAAACATAAGGTTCTGCATCCAATGGTTCGAGTTCAAGCAACTTTTCTGACACCCATTTTCCCATATCATAACTTTTGTGGAGTCGACAAGAGGATAAGAAGGCCCTCCATACCGAGCTAAGATGTGATAGATTGTTCTCGTAAATGAAGTTCTTTATCTCATCCAGGTAGCCAGCACGGCCAAAGAGATCAACCATGCAAGTAAAGTGTTCAACTCCAGGCTTAATTTTGTAAACTTCTTTCATTACAGAGAAGAAATTGCGGCCTTCATCAACAAGCCCGGCATGGCTGCATGCAGTTAGGACTGCCACAAAGGTAATCTCATTTGGTTGAACATCATCTTCCAGCATCATTTGAAATAGTCTAACGGCTTCTTTACCTAGCCCATGGAAGGCATATCCATTTATAATAGCTGTCCACAAAATAGTGTTCCTTGTGACAGTTTGATCAAATACTGTCTGCGCATTCCCTAAACTTCCACATTTGGAATACATATCAACCAACGAAGAGCAAAAAACCAAATCGAATTTGTATCCCACCTTATGTGTGAGGCCATGAATCTGCTCACCAAATTCCAAAAACCCATAATCAGCACATACAGAGACAATAGTAGTCAGAGTATATTTATCAACTCCAATTCCTTCACGAACCATATGGCAGAACATTTCCAAGGCTTCTCCAAACCTTCCATTCTGAGCATATCCTGAAAGCATGGAGCTCCAAGAAACAGTGTCCATCTTTAAATTTTCACCATTTATCTTAGAAGCATGTTTATTAGATAATCCTTGAGGCATTTGCTTGAATACAACAGATGCCTTATCAATCACCCCACACTTGGAATACATATCAATTAGTGAAGTTCTTATATACTCATTATCATAGAATCTAAGCCTGATCAATCGAGCATGTAGCTGTGCCCCAAGCCCCAATATAGATAATGAAGAAACCAAAGCCAACGTAATAGCATATGTAAATTCATCAAAACAAGCTTGTTCTTTAACCATTTCATAAAGGAGTTCCAACGCCGTTCCTTCAAACCCATTTTTCATCATTCCTGATATAACAGTATTCCAGGTTGCAACATCTTTAGTGGACAATCTTCTAAACATACCAAGAGAGCTCTCTACATTACCACTTTCCATGTTAGCTATATTACACGAAACGGTATCCACACAATCTGTACACTCAAACAACTTATTAGCATAATCAAGCTCTTCAGATTTCACATAAAAATCAATAATAGAGTTCTTCAACACAGCATCCAAATCAATCCCATGTTTCAGTATCCACCCATGAATTGCCTTACCATTATAAACCAACCCTATAGAAGAACAACACTTGAATACACTTGACAATGTAAACCCATTTGGACACACACCCTCCACTAGCATTCGAGAAAAACAATCCAACCCAACTCGAAACAATCCGATTCGAGCAAAACCCGAAATCAGAACCGTCCAAGTACGAACATTTCTCTCAGACATTTCAACGAACAGGCTCTGGGCAGAACCCAAATCTTTGAATTTCGCATAAAGACTCAAAACATAGTTCCCAACATTCAAATCAACAATGGAACCACTCTTTATTACCCTCCCATGAAGGGTGTGAAGCGTTCGTTCATCCTTCAAATCATCAATAAACCCCAATAATTGTGGTTGTTTTTCATGCTGTTTAGAGGAGAGAGAATCATGGAATCGTTGAATTTGTTTCTGGGTAATCTTAATCTGGGTTGAATTATAAGAAATTAGGGTTTTCAAAGGGTTTAAGCAATTGCTCTTCAAAGCGACGGAATAACAGAAGAATTTGGGACGTAAAAGCGTACATTGCATTGTACAAGAAATGCAGTTCAAACTTCAAAAACCAATAGTTTAAGAGTATGACTTAATTCAATTTTAGCGATAATTAGCACACTTATCTCATTTGTTTCTCAAGGGAAAAGAGTTTTCTCCCGCCTTTTAGTTTGATTTTTTAAAAGGGTTTCACTTGTAACTAGTTGAAAGAAAAATGGGCACCTAGATTCAACATCTCCTTATGTGCATTGCTAAATACCGCCAACAAAAACGATCATCACCGCCAATATTTGGTGTGAATGGACAATCATACCCTTACTAATTCACCACTCCTTATCCTCCCGGCAACCAACAACCCCTTTCGATTGGCGATTACCACCACCACCCTGACTGGCGACCCATCACACCCTCCTCTATCACAACCCACCACCTCCCCTCGCCGGCGGGAAGGTGGCGGTTTATTTATTATGAGTATTATTTTTTTATTTCAGGCAGAAGCCCAAAACCAGTTACCGCGCCCAAAATCGGTAACCGGTTTTGGGCTCCGGTTATTGCGCACGGTAACCGATTTTGGGCTCCGATTGGTACAGTTGCCAGAAAAGAAAAACAAAAAAAAACCACCTTTCCACTGGTGAGGGAAGGAGGTGGGTTATCTTTGAGGGGGATGTGGTGGGTCGCCGGTCAGGGTAGTGGTGGTGGTCGTCGTCGATCAATGTGGTGATCGTGGTGTTTGTCGTCATCAATTGGGGTGGTGGTGGTGTCAAGGTATTAGTGATTGGTGACAAGAGGGAAGATAGTGGTGAAGTACTAAGGATATGGTTGTCCATCATTCACACTAAATGTTGGCGGTTTTGATCATTTTGGATATCACACCCAAGCTATTTTACATGTCAAACAACATTTTCATACATGGATTAGGTCCGTTTTAAGCCCTTCAAAACAAGCATGACGAAAACTAGTGACATGTAAGAGTAAGACTAATGAGTAAAACTTCTCAATTTCTCATATGAGCTAGTACCAAGCATTGTTGTATCAACATAATCATGTCTTAATCCATGTGTATGAAGTTTTAAAAAAAAAAAAAAAAAAAATTGAGTCAAAACACCAATCAAAAACAATCAATCAGGAGTTAAATTTCCATTAATTACTTAACCATTACCTTTTTTTTTAACCTCTAGCAAATAAAATATTATTACTCATCAAGGAAGAAAACACAAACACCAACGCAGCTAAAGATTACAACTTAACACAACTCCAGCATACAATAGAAACTCTATTGTTCCTGTATACTATTACTAGCATTATAGCATCAGTATCACCTCTGTTAATCCTTCTATGAAAGACTAATAAATCTAGATCAGAGACGCTTCATTTGCAATCAGCAAGTTGTACACAATTTTCACGAACTCAATTACTTGGACTTGATCTAGATGAAAGCACAAGGCAGGCATATATAGTTACACAACATCAATCGCAGGACGGGTGCTCTCTTCTACTACCGGAACAGACTTAACTTTACAGCTTCTTTCATTCCTACAACCTTCGGCGAATTTCATGCTTACTTTATGAAGTCCTTGTTCCTGCTCATCTGCATCCCATTCCCTCAGGTAATAGTCTTCCTCAGTAACACCCGGTTTCGGACCAGCCAACATACCGCCCCATTGAGGGAAATATATTGAAGATAAGCTAAGTGTAGTAACAATGATTATAATACCCATGTATGTTATTCCATCTTCTAGTTTGAATTGTGAACCTCTGAAGAATATTACTTGACATATCACTGCACCTACGTTTCCTCCTGCTCCTGATATCCCCGAAACCAAACCCAATGATCTGCAAAGAACAATAATCATACAAACAAAGATTAATTAATTAATTAATTAATTTCCCGTGTTTTGCATCTAATAGTTAACAGAGGTAGTATTACGTAAATGATTGTTAATTACCTCCTAGAGACAAAGGGAACAACCCCAAATGTGAGTCCTTCGGAAGCTTGAACAAGAAAGCAAAAGATCAACATGACCGCAATGGTAGCGCCTAAAGTGTCAAGGCGTCCCATAACAATACACATTACACCACTAAGTGTCTGGACAGTCCACCACCCCCACAATCTCCCCCTCATTCCGTACTTTTTTGCCATGAAGTCGGAGAACAATCCACCACATGACCTAGAGAAAATATTAACCATCCCAAAAAGTGCACCTACAATGCCTGCTAGGCTAAGGTTAAGATTAAATCGGTCATAGAAGTAGGAAACAATTATGTTTGTTACGGCTAGCTCAACTCCGAAACAGAATCCGTATCCTATAGCAGTGATCCAACCCCTATAGTTGGTGACCGCGTGATACACAATCTTCTTCGCGTTGTCCTTGTGCATTTCACCGGATTTTTGGAGCTTAAGAAAGTTTCCACCCGGAAGGTCTTGGCCTAATAGCATGACTGCAAATGCTGAAAACATTTGCAAAAAAGCGGGCAAGAAAAATGAAACCCTCCAGGCTGTAAAAGGCGTGTCAGCCTTAGTATTATTTAAAATAAAACTGTATAGAAGTGGCATCAGAAGGTTAGCCACCCCTCCGCCGAGGTTCCCCCACCCACCCGACTGGCCGTTCGCAATGCCAACAACCTTAGGAGAAAACATACAACTCATCCAATACTGTGTAGACACAAAAGTGGCTAAAGAAAATCCGGTAAAAAACCGCATAATAAAAAAGGCGGCCGGTGAGCTAGCCATAGAAGAGAGAAAAACAGCAGGGACAGTTAGAAAACAGACAGTAGCAGACGCAAGGCGAGGGCCGGCTAAGTCACAGGCAGCACCTAAGGCAAGACGGGCGAAAATCGCCCCCGCAACGGAACCAACACCGGCATTGCCAATGTCAGTGGCTGTAAGGTTGAGATTATCACGGATGATTGGAAGCAGAGGTGGAGCTGCGAAAGTACATACAAAACAAGTGAAATATTGAAACCAACTCAAATGAAATGCTCTCATATGAGGTTTTTCTACAGAAAATAATGGAAATATCATTGCTTTGTTTTCTGTATCGATTGGATAACTATATTTTTTTTGTGTTTCATCCACAACATTGTTCTTATTCTCTCCAATATTATTATTGTTTACCATATTGATATACTTCTAACTATGATAGATATATCAATATATCAATAAATTTAACACACTTTTATGTATTTCTTACTAGAAAATTTACTTTATATTTCTAGTATGACTACTATTATTTCGGAACAGAGGGAGTTTTTTTGTTTGGCGAATACAAATAAAGTTTGTATGTGATTGGTTTGGTGAGTAATAAGGTGAAGTAGAAGACTAGAAGCTCAAGTTGAAAGAATGTGGTTCATCTAACCTAGCTTATATAGTAGTTTGCCAGATTAAAGATGCTTAATTAAATTGAAAAGGCAAATGTACGGAAACTACGGAATTAGTATTATAAGATCAAGTGGTTACAAATTTGCGATTATCATACAGTACCATATATATATATATATATATATATATATATATATATATATATATATATATATATATATATTTTTAATTGTTGTTCCTCTAACTACTTATCAACACGTCATTAGAAAGGAAATTAATCACATTATAGTTGTCTTTATGATATGATATGCATATATGCATGGGTGATGCTAAAGGTCACAATTTGTTACAAATAAGTTCATAATATTTTTACGGAGTACTCTATAGTATGTATCAGGAAAGCTCAATAGATGTTCATATTAATACATTACGTAGAAAGTGATAAAAAAATTTAACTTGCTTTAAGGTAATGATATTTCATGGCTCATGATGCTTTATTGCTTTGATTCCTCCATATTTTTCAACTTTGATAGATTTATGATCGTTGACTTTTTACTAATATTTTCATTGTGTTTCCAATTTGAAAAATCATAAATTTAAAAAGCATTGTACAGTCAACAAAATAGTAGTTAAGAAGTTGTGATGTGATCAATTAGTTGTATATAATTTGTATGGTTATGGTCTCACACATACATGTTTTGTCGCCTTTATCATTGTTCCGTTTATCTATAATAATCTTAGCTTAAGAGAAGATAGACTTACCTAATAGTAAAAAACTGGTTTTGTTTATAATGAATTTAACCATGCATGCTTTGCTTAAAGAATTATAAAATTATATAATGAATGAAGACAAGTGAAGACGTGCGTTTATTTTTCAAAGCTTGCATTGGTAATCTCTTTGCTTTAAATAATTTGTACGACGAAAATAATGACTTCTATATATGCATTTCAATCCATCTACTACTTAATTTGTACGACGAGTATATAAATAATTAACTTAGGACTTGGGAGAAATATTGAACAAGTGCCCTAACAAGAATGAATCTGGATGCACATAAAGCTAGGTGCATTAAGGGTGGTTTTTTTTTTTTGTCATTATTTTAAGATTTTAAAAGCATCATATAAAATATTAAGGGCTTGTTTACATTTACTTAATTTCAGTTAAGTTCCGTTCATTTCAGTTCCAACCAGTTCAGTTCAGCTCAGCTCTAATCAGTTCAGTTTCGTTCAGCTCCTAATTTCCCTCTCTCGTAAAATATTCATTTCACCTCAGTTTAGTTCATTTCACCTCCAATCAGTTCAGTTCAGTAATGTAAACATGCCCTAAATATGCACAAAATAGTCAAATAACTCTTAGATTAATCAGAAATAAATTGATTTTTTGTGTGTTTTAAAAAAAAAATGATTTTTTTGTACGTAGTATTAATCAATACTTTACTTCTACAAATACCCATTTGATGATGTCTCTGTTTGACTATAGAAAAAGCAAGCAATCAGATACGTTGTACTTAGTACGGAGTAGGTCGTTGTGATCAACGGGCAACCAACACGCTGTTTACTTGTATTATCGTCATTATAATGACATCTTTGCTCACACAAGTTTTGTCTCGATTGTAAAATCCATAAATTGTGGAGTTAATCTAGCTAACAGAATTACACACTACCATACATTATACTCCGTATGATTTAACACCTTTTTTATGACTAAACATATGCCCACCCTAGGCGTGCGTAAATACAAAGACTTAAAAATAAAATTAAAATAAAAATTCAAAATAATTATCAATTAATCACCTTATGTATGGAAACAAACAAACACGAACAGAGAGGGTATGTATAATAAAACTATGTACTCTGTATGGAGTAGTAAATAGTAATACATAAAAATGAAAAAAAAATATATAATCGCTACTTATTAGCACTTTATTCAATCATTCATGATGAATTGATGAGTAGCCCTAAATTTAAGCTATGATATGCATATCACAATGGCATGCAATTGACATAAATTAGGGGATAGAAAACAATTAATTCATTCAATTGTCAAATATTTATCATCATATGATATAAGATAACTCATTAGATGACAAAAAAATGTGCTGGATGATAAGATGGTGTTCATTAAACAAATAAAAGTACGGAGTAGTACATAAACCGACCGTACATTAACCGAACAGTGGTACGGTATTATGATGTAGTTGTACATTAAATAAATTAATCACACTACAAGTCTACATGTGGCGTAATAATTGAAGCAACAATTCAAACGAATAAAAAAATAAGGATATTATCGTTATTAGTCGTTTAACGTGAAGTGTTTATGAAGTGTTGGCCACCAAATGCGTTTCCGACTTTCCGCATATCATAATTATTTTGTTTTTTATATAATTATTTAAAAAATACTTTTATATTATAATATGGTATGACTCGTATGAACAAGTATCTTACTAGTATATATAAGTCGAAATTAATTCTAAATGAAAAAATCAATTTGGCTTTTGACCCTTCAAAAAATAAAGAATCAAGAAATTTAAGGATAAATTATAAAAATTATTTTTACCCACCCTAATATGATCTATAAAGTGTATAATTAGTACGTAATTCGTATAATAACCTAATGGAGTTTGAGATACTCCATAAAATATAGATACTCTATTTTTTTAAACTTATTTTTTTAGTCCGATTGATTTTATTATTATTATTATTATAATTATTATTGTTATTATATCTTAAAAACAGACAAAGTCATATGACCTACAAAAAAAATTAGTGGAAAGTCGAGATACAATCATTTCAAATTGTTATATTCATTCCATTTTAGCTCAATAGAGTAGATATTAGTATATTACATGTACATAATGTACGAGCATACGGAGTATATAAATATGTAGGTATAGTAGCTTCGAATATCATCTTTGTCCACTAAACACATCTCATAAGTAAGTTTATTCATAAAAAAAAAAAAAAAAAAAAAAAAAAGTAAGTTTGTTTTACACCTCAAGCTGATTGAAATTGTGTAATCTAAGATAACATAATTATGTCATTTGATTTGTTTCATAGAAAAATCATTATACTATACTAGTGTTGTGACAATTTATAAAAGTTTTCATCCGTTGACTAAAAATTACAAAACCACAAATATCTCCCACTAAATTGCAACTACTCTATACTGTACTACGGAGTATAAAGTAAACGTGTACAGTTTGCATGGCTTTTTTAACGGCAAGTTCGTCTAATAGAGTACTTTGCATTTTAACAATTTGGCAAACTTACTAAATTATACTCGGAATATTCTTCTACCAAGTTGCTTAAATATGATTAGATATGCGTATATGAAGGTGATGATAAGGTATCATGCTTCGATTATTGCGCCCGTTTAATAAGTGAATTTGCTTAGATAGATTAACTTATTAGTATGGTCATTGACTTGTACGAAAGTTTAATTTACTCAATGTTCCATTTTTTAAAAAGTTTTGTTGTGATCAAACTCTTTTGGAATAATAATACTCCGTATTTGAAGGATTTGATTTAGCTACCACATGCTAATATTCTTTTTAGTAGCTAGCGAATTGTTAATCGAGTGTGCTCGAGCTTGAACGAGTTTAATTTTGTATGATGTTTGGTTCGAGTTTAGTTCGTTAGGTAAAAGAATTGCTTAATTGATCGAGCTCATTAACTTGAGCTTGGTCAATGCTCATTTGTACAATTGTAATCTCTCTTTAACAAAATTTTCAATTTTGATTTTTTGATACAAATAAAAAAAATCTTTGAGAGAAGGGAAAAGATGGACCGAGCATTAAACAAGTTAGTTTATTAGTAAATGATTTACTCAGCTCGTTTAAAATTTGGACTTTACCATTATACAAGCAAGTTTATTGAAGCTAGCTATTAGTGAGTTATAACTTATAAATGCATGAGATATTCGCGATTAACACTTAAGCGTCAAACACGATGTTATGGTAAAGCTTATATCTCATTTGGTAAGCGAGAAAGCTAGCACAAAATTTTTACTTGAGCTTTTCACAATTCAATTGCTTGGTGAACAAGTTTTGACCTAATTTGTTCATTTCATGGTCACAACTCACAAGCATATCGACTCATTTGCACCTTACCTTATTACTAGTTATTACTACTCCCGATAACATAAAACAATCATATACAAAATTAAAAGATTAAAAATAAAGGATTACCACTAAGGGTTGCAACTCGGGTCAGCGGACAGATTTGGGTCAGATTTTGGATCGCTTTCGGGTTATGCTTAAAAACAATCAAAAATAGTGTAAAACTTAATATTATTACAAAAAATACGAAATTTGGGTTAAATCGGGTCGAATTCAGATAATTCGGGTTTGATTCGGATTTCTCTCAGTAACTTCGGCTGGGGTTTGGGTCGTGTTATCGTGCCGGGTCAGGGATTACGAACCCTAATTACCACTTACTCATATACACTCTTTTCGAATAATAAGTTTTAAATGTGGTTAAGACACAAACCACACTTTTTTTTTTGGTGAAAAGGAGCAGATATATTACGCCATTATATGCTTAAAGAACACAAACCGCACTTTACAAAACCTTTTTTCTTCTTCTTTTTTTTTTTTTTTTTTTTTGTGATTTTGAGTTAGAGAATATTGCCATGTTCATTGGCGAGGCTAGCCTAATTAAGATGGTGGTTTATGAATGGATTACTTCCGGTGGGCTAAATTAATAGATGGAGATCAAAACCAGGTATCTAATAAGGAGTCCTTAATGAATCAAAAAGTCAATGGCAATGAGGCCAGGGTTAGTCAACGAAAGCACAA